GGGGGTCGTGCAGGGGGCTCACCACAGCAGTGTTTGTGACAGCGTCCTCTTTTGTGCCGGGGAGGCGTTTCCCGGCACAGTGAGACCTTAGATGGATTTGTCGGTGCTGGGAGGCCACGCGGCTGTGACCATACCCAGGCGTCCTGCCAGGCCTTGGTTAACATTCCGTTTGTAGGCCTCATGTGCTAGCTCACATCTGTAATCCCAGGTAGTATAGAGGCAGAGCTTGGGAGGATTAAAGTTCGAGGCCGCCTCAGGACCCCATCTCAAGCAGTGGCCGGGCAGGTGGTGTGTGCCTGTGAGCCCAGCTGAAGGCGAGGCTGTAGGAGCACGGGGTGAGGCAGCCCCCAGGCAAGGATGCAAGACCCTGTCTGAAAAATAACTGAAAGGGCTGGGGTGTGGCTCACATGGTGCCAAAAAACCCAAACCGAGACTCCATTCATTCACAGGAGGGTTAAATAATGCTGGGTACTCTTTTTTTTTTTCTGGTCCTTTTTGGTGGTACTGGGATTTGAACTCAGGGCCTGGTACTTGCAAGGCAGGGGCTCTACCACTTGCCCTTTTCTGTGATGGGTATTTTTGAGATAAGGTCTCACTTTTTGCCCGGCCTGGTGTTGAACCTCGATCCTCCTATCTCAGCCTCCTGAGTGGCTGGGATTACAGGCGTGAGTCATGGTGCCCGGCGGTGCTTTCTACTTTTCATGTCATGAAGTTTTCGCTAGATTGCTGGGGTCATCACATTGCATCTGAGGATGGTCTGTGTGACACTTTCCTCCCAGCTGTGTGGCTAGGCTTCTGGAGCATGTGAGAGCCACCTAGGACAGCGTCCATCGGGAAGACGAGTGTGACATTCTCAAGGAACCCATCCCAAGCTAGAGTTGAAATGCAGCCACATGTTTGTGTCTGGAGATGTTTTCATGTTATTTTCAGAAGCAGAGCTCGGCCGATAAGTGAATGACTGAGTGACTTTTGTCTCCTACCTCAGATGTGCACTTCTTAGGGGGACGGTGGAGGAAAAGGAGGCAGAGGGGCTGATGGGAAGGGAAAGGTTGAGTGAATTCTTCAGTTGTGACTGTTTAAAGAGGCGCCAGCCTCCCAGCCAGGGAGAAGGGACAGAAAATGACACACGCTGGCCTGAGCGGGAGGCAGCTGGGACTCTGGCTTGCGGGGGTGTGCATTGGCTCAGTGGCTTTGGAAAAGTGGAAATCTTTCCTGAGCTGAACACACACGTGTCTGTGACCCAGCCTCTGCACTGCTGGCTGTGCTGTCCCCACAAAAACGCGTGTCTGTGTCAGCCCAGACACCCCACATACGATCATCGTGGGCCGTGTGTCAGGGACAGACGCTGGCCACTGGCCGCCTGGCAGCCATGGCAGGGATGGGCGGCGGGGGCCACATGGCACTGTGGCTGCTCTGTCTGTCTGTCCTTCTTGGTGTGCACAGTTAGGGGGTCACTGAGAGAACCCCCCTTTCTGTACCAGTGAGTAAAGTTTAAAGAGCTAAAGGGAAAAAGAAAACAGTTTTATATTTAGTGTGTGTAATGAAATGTGATATTTGTGTGTACTTTTTTTTTTGGTGATATGAGATTTGAACTCGGGGCTTCCTGCTTGCTAGGCTGGCCTTTGCCACTCAAACCACGTCACTGGCCTCTTTTGCTGTGGTTGTTTTTGAGATGGGGTCTTGAGTTTTTGCCTGGGCTGGCCTTGACCTATGTCCTCCTGTTTACACTTCCTGCAGAGCTGGATGACAGGCACTCGCCACCATGCCCGGTTTTTACTGGTTGAGGTTGTGTTTCAGGAACTTCCTGCCTATGTTGAGCTGGCCTGCAGCCGTGTTCCTCCCAATGTCCACCTCTTGAGTAGCTAGGATTGCAGGTGTGAGCCACTGCACCCAAGCAATGTGTGTGTGCGCGGCGGCACTTCTGTAGGGCAGTGTGCAGATGTGCCTGGGAGTGACAGCGCCCCCTCTGGGATGGACCTCTCCTTGGAACAGAGCTCATACCTATCCGCAACAATTTTCTTTTTATTTCTGTTTCTGGCGGCACTGGGATTTGAACTCAGGGCCTCACGCTTGCTAGGCAGGCGCTCTACCACTTGAGCCACACCCCAGCCCTGTAACTATTGATTTTTTTTTCAAAGAAAAAATAAGCCAAAACATTATTTTCAGTTAAATCTTGGTGGTAGCATGTGGATTCTGGTATTTTCTGAACTTTTTTTTTTTTTGTCAGTTCTGATTTTTTTTTTTGAAATAGGGTCTCACTGTGTAGGTACTCCTAGGCTCAAGCAGTCCTTTTGCCTCAGCCTCCCAAGAAGCTGTGACTCCGGGCGTGCACATAGCACGCGCTTCTGTCTAAAGCATGCAGCTGGGCCGGGGTTGTAGCTTGGTGGGAGAGCGCTTGCCTACCATGCCTGAGGCCCTGAGTTCGTTTCTTACCACCATAAAAATAAAAACGCATGCCACCTGCAGGTTCGACTGCACAGTGGTTGGGGACACAGCTGCACAGTGGAATCTGCCTGTAAGGGGGACAGTTTGCAGCTACACACGGTGACATGGTGGCTGTGACTGAGGGAAAAGGTGGCAGCAGAGGTCTTTCCACTTATGCAACCTAAGTGTCACCCTGAGCCCCCCCTGAGCCCCCCCCGGTGTCTGAAGGCAGGGCAACAGGGCCAGGGCCTCTGTCCTGGGACTGTAGATGGAGGCCCCACTTCCCATGTTAAGGGCGTTCCCGGCCTCCCCTGCCCCAGAGCTGCTGACTTCTCACTTCTGAGGCCAGGGCCAGGACGAGGAAACTGCTTCTTTCCTGACGGCAAGCTGCTGATTTCACAATGTTGTTTTTGTGTATTTGTTTATTCAAGGCAGGGTCTTGCTACGTAGTCCAGGCTGGCCTTGAACTCATGGTCCCCCTGCCTCTGCTTCCCTAGTGCTGGGATTATGTGCATGCACTGCCGCAGCTGGTTGAGTTTTTATTCAAAGGCAGCACTGGGTTCGTGAGCTCCGGGAGGAACGTGCGTGCTCAGGACGCCTGCTGATTCCATGTTGTTGTTTTTTGTGTACTGGGGTTTGAACTCAGGGTTTCAGGCTTGCCAGGCAGGCGCTCTACTGCCTGAGCCAGTCCTCCAGCCCTTCTGTTTGTATTTTGGTTTGAGAAGAGCCCCACTCATTTTAGCTGGGATTACAGGTTTGCACCACCACACCTGGCTCTGTAATTGTACTAGAAGCAGTTCACATGGCCAAGGACTCTGTCAATGGGAGGACCCAGGAAGGCAGGACCGCGTGGACGCGGGGGTCTCCCTGCACTGGGTGGGGGCTGGGTTTGGCCTCTGGGAACTGCCGCCAGCTGTGTGTCCCTAGGGTCTCCGTGCAGAGGGCCTGCTGGCTGGAGACTTCCATGGCGTCTGTGTTCTCACAGGGCTGAGATAAGGGAGGCTCCAGCAGGGTTTATTGGGTAAATCCTGTCTGCAGCAAGAGCCTTGGACTCTGGGGTTGCGTCTGAGGACGAATGTGGGGGAGCAGGGTGTGGCGGGCCTGAGTGTGCACGCTGCTTTCGTCTTTCTGATTTGTGGGAAGCGACTTGGAGAACCAAATCGGAAGGAGCTCAGTGCTGCCTGCCGCTGGCTTCCCTTTGTGTGCTGTGCGGGGTCACGTGGGGGGGTCACACAGGGGGGTCACACGGGGGGTGGAGTTGGCTCCCTGTCACTACGCCTGGTTCTCTGGCATCTGCCCCGCGCCCACAGCGGCGCCTCTGCCCTCTGCATGGGGAGGTGCCCGAGAGTTGCTAGCCTGGGATGCAGGGAGCGGTGGCCACCGGGAGCCCCGTGCCGGGGACGTGGTCCAAGCTGTGCTTGGTGTATTGCAGCATCTTCTTGGATGGGGAGTCTGGAGGAAGCCGGGGCTGGACATTTGGCGCTGGGCGCTGTCTGTGAGCCGCGGTGCCCAGGGTAAAGCAGGCTGGGCCCTGCAGAAGGTTTGGGGCCGACGGAGGACAGCCCGGAGGCCCGTCGGTCACTGCTGCGTTAAAGGCACAGATGGTGCAGACCAGGGTCAAGGTGCTCCAGTCTTCCTATGAAGCCCAGACTGGCCTTGAATCATGGCCTCCTGCCTCAGCCTCCTGAGTGCTGGGATTACAGGTGTTTGCCTCATATCTGGGTTTCTTTTTTTTTTCTTGTTGTGTGGTTCTGGGGCTTAAACTCAGGGCCATCACCTTGAGCCACTCCACCAGCCCTTTTTGTGAAGAGTTTTTTCAAGATAGGGTCTTAAACTGTTTCTCCGGGCTGGCTTCGAATGGTGATCCTCCTGATCTCTGCCTCCTGACTAGCTGGGATTACAGGCGGGAGCCTCTGTGCCCAGCTCTTTGTGTTTCTTGATCGGTGTTTGTTTTGGAAGCTGGGTCTCGGCCATAGCCGATGGGCACCTGGACTCATGCCTTCCATGACTGGAGCCCATGAAGGGTGACCACACCACGCAGCAGCCAGGGTGCTGCAGTTCACTCACAGCATGTCTGTAAGTCCTTATAGAATCTCCGTGTGATCAGGGTTCACATTCTTCACCACTGTGGGCACTTGGGTTTTGAGGACGATTTTTCTTTTTTTGGGTGGTGCCGAGGATTGAACCCAGGGGCTGGCACTTGCTGGGCATGCACTCCACCTTCTGTTTTCATTTTGTGTTTGAGACACAGTCTCGCTGCCTCCCAGCTTGACATCCTCCTGCTTCTGCCTCCTGAAGCTGGGGTCATGGGAGTGCATGGCACACCTGTCCACTTTCTTGGCAGATCCTAGGACTGGAACTGCACATCACACAGTCGCTCTGCTCATATTCTGAGGGTCCATGGTGACCTTGTTTGCACACCCACTGGCAAGTGCTAGGGGTCAGGGACCTCCTTACGCTGGTCAGCAGTCGCCTTGAAGGCGCTCTATTACACTGTCCTGGGCTCATGTCCCCTTGGGTCCCTGTGATGAGTGGTGCCAGTCATCTTTTCGCATACTCACTGGCCATTGGCCATTTGTACCTCTTTGGGGGATGGCCCCCTCCCCCCTGGCTCTGTAGTGTGGAGAAGAAGGTGGCCTGCAGGGGATCAGTCTGGCCATGTGGCGTGGCCAGAGCCCATGTGCTCAGCAAGCACCGGGTGCCGGAGGCCCCATTGCCCGAGCAGCGTCACCAGCAGGAGTCCCTCTTCTCTCTGCAGATTCACCAATGCCCCAGGTCATCGAGCAGGGGGACCCAGATCCCAGCCGAATGCAGAGGCCGCAGGGGAACCCGCTGCTGCTGTCCTGCACCCTGCAGGAGCTGCTGGCCAGGGACACGGTGCAGGTGGAGCTCACGCCGGAGAAGAAGGGGCTGTTTCTCAAGCATGTGGAATATGAGGTCTCCAGCCAGGTGCCTGGGGGTCGGCGGGGAGGGACAGCCGGGGCTGGGGCACGGTGGCAGGGAGGGGACAGTCAGTGCGCCCAGGCGGGGTACTGTCCAAAGCCTGATGGCACAGTCAGCTGGTCCCCGTCCGGGACGCAACCTTCTCTCTGGGACCTCCGCAGACAGAGCGAGCCTGGTGAGGGCTGTGATCCTGGGGACCCCGTGCCGAGGGTTGGTAGCTCTCGTGGCAGGACTGGCACGGGCTGTGCCCACTCCTCCCCACGGGGACGCTGTCTCCTGCGGTTGGGCCGTAGTTGTGGTGCTTGGTGTGTGGCACCCCTGTGGCCTCAGCAGTGACGGTCTTTCTGTCCCTTTGTTCTCTGTCGTCAGTACCATGGTTTGGTTAGGGTGGATTTGGGGAGTTTTGTTCTGGGGTGAGTGCGCGATGAGCTAACACCACCCTGAGTGCGGAGTCCTGGAAGGGGTGTGAGGACAGCACGGCCCTCGCCTGGGGGGGCTGGGTTTGTGTGAAAAGGACAAAGGTGAGCTGGGGACAGCCGTCTGCCATGTCCTGAAGAGTTGAGGATCAGCACCTGTGTTTCAGAGCCTGCGACTGAACCGTCCCAGTGCTGGGACCCAGTGCTGCTCCCGGGGCGGGGGTCGCTCCCTCTGGGACAGCGCGGGTGGCACCCGTGATTCTTGCCTTCTGTCTGCAGTTGGGGCTGGCGTGACGCCGCCTGGTGCAGAGGAGCAGCCCGTCCTCCTGGGCCTGATGTCCCCAGAGTGGGAAGCTGTCACTCACTTCTGGTAGTGGCCCCTGGCCTTTTCCAGGCTTTTTTAATGCTCTCTATGTACCCAGGCTGGAACTCATGATCCTCCTGCCTCTACCTCCCAAGTGCTGGGATTACAGGCGTGCACTTCTGTGTCCTCCTTTTCCAGGCTCTTTGAACTGCCCATCCCTTAAGAAGATGGAGGCCGCTGATGGCTGTGTGTGTGTGTATGTGTGTGTGTGTGTGTGTGTGTGTGTGTGTGTCCATGTTGAGCATTTATTTATTTTTATTTGTGCTGCTGGGGTTGCACATGGGGCCTTGAGCTTTCTGGGTAAGCACTGTCTACGTGGTCAGCGCTCCAGTCCTTTTGCTTTTGTTTGGTTTTCATAGGGCCTTGAAGCCAGCTTGGCTTGGGCTGGCCTGGCACCACAATCCTCCTCCTCCTCCATCAGCCTCCCGATGTGGATTATAGGCGTGTGCCAGCACACTTGGCCACGTAATCCCCTCCACCTTTGGCGGCACTGGGATTTGAACTCAGGGCCTCACGCTTGCTAGGCAGGAGCGCTACCAGTTTAGCCTCCTCAGCCCTTTTTGCTCTGGTTATTTTTGAGATAGGGTCTTGAGATTTTGCCTGGGTCAGCCTGGACTGTGATCCTTCTTGGATCCCTTGTAACTGGGATGACAGGGGTGTACTACCATGCCCAGCTGCTGGGTGAGATGGGGTCTCAGTAACTTTTTGCCTGGGTTGTCTTTGATCCTCCCAAGTAGCAGGAATTACACCGTGTGGGAAGTTTTGAAGACACCTGTCCATGTGTGTGTCTTGTGCCAGCCGCTACAGCAGATCCACACTGGTCACTCCAGTGAACGGGATACTCACGCTGTGGAGCCTGAAGCCTGATGCGGCATGGCGTTTACGGTGCAGCGTGGCTGGTGTGTGTGAGCCCCGGGCTGTGGTTTTGGTCCTTCGAGGGCCTCTGTGGCTGGTCTGTCTCGGCAGGCAGTGGTGATGCAAAGGACATCTCTACCTTTTAAGGGTAGTGGTGCCCACCTGAGCAGTAGCTGCTCCTGTAAAGAGTGTTGTCTTGGCCGGGCCTGGTGGTGCAGGCCTGTAATCCTAGCACTTGGGAGGCTTAGGTAGGAGGATCTAGAGTTCAAGGCCAGCCTGAGCTACCTAGCCAGACCATCTCAGAATAACCAAAAAGCCAAAAAACAGAGAGACTCTTGTCTTATGTTCTACCTTTTTTTTTGGTGGAACTGGGGTTTGAATTCACGGCTTCCTGCTTGCAAAGCAGGTGCTCTAGCGCTTGTGCCACACCTCCAACCTGGTTTGCTCTGGTTGTTTTGGAGTCTCGGGAACTAATTGCCCTGGCTGGCCTCGGACCACAGTCCCCGGGAGAGAGGACAAGGAGTTTGGGAACGCTCTTTCTGTGGGTTCCGTTGCATGGAAGAAGGAGGTCGGTGCTGTGGTTTCTGACGTCTGATCTGACGGCTGATCCTTCTCTTAGCGCTTCAGGTGCTCTGTGTACAGACGGTACAACGACTTTGTGGTCTTCCATGACACGCTGCTACACAGGTTCCCGTACCGCATGGTGCCCGCCCTCCCACCCAAGAGAGTGCTGGGAGGTAAGCTGGGTCCCTTGGGATGTTCTTGCCCATGCCAGCTCCCACTGCCAACCGCGAGGTCGCACACGAGCCTCTGGCCGTCCTAGGGTCATAGCTGCACTGAGTCCTGGTCTGGTTCAGGAAGGGTTGTGGCCTGGCATCCGAGTCCATGGGACCCTCTGGATGGGAGACTGAGAATGCAAGGAGCCCCTGTGGGAGCGGGAGAGGAACCCCAGGTCCCTCTGCACAGCTCTGGGGCCAGGACATCAGGAGCCAGGGGCCCTGTCTGCCCTCATGGCAGCAGCTGGCTTTTCCCACGCTCACAAAGCCCCGTGCCGTGCAGGTGAACTCAGGGAAGGGCAGCGCAGGCCAGGTGGGGTGTGAGGTGTGTCCTGGAGAAGCTGGAGCGATGGTCAGTGGTCAGTTGCTGTGCCCGCCTGGCCCTCTGAGACTGACCTGCTCTTTGCAGAGCATAGGGTTCTGCAGGTCGTCTTCCTGGTTCTCACTGGTCATCCTTCCCACGGCCTTTTCCCAACATCTGAATAAGGCTTGATGGGCAGACAGGTGCTCAGAGCCCACTTTTCTTGTATGTGGTTCTGGGGAGTGACCTCAGGGCTCTGCCACCTGAGCCACATCCCCAGTCCTTTTGCTTTTAGGGTAGGGTCTCACTAACTTTCTTCAGGCTGGCCTTGAACTCTCAGATGCCTCTGCATCTCAAGTTGCTGAGATTACAGGCATGCACCACCACACCCGGTTTCAAAGTAATTACACTTGAACAGGGAAAAGCTTCAGACTACCACAGTGGTCAGTTTCTAGCATTTGAAACCCTGGAACGTGGACATGTGAGCTTTGCCTGACATGGGCGGCCGGGTAACTTAACACCTGGTCATGTGGCCTTCTCTCCAGCTGGGCACTGCACTGTAGGGCAGGCCCACAGCTGATGTCCGAGGCGGTCAGGAAGGGCAGTGGCGGTCAGGAGGTGTCTTGGGGGGCGTGATGCCCGCCAGTGTCCATCTGCAAAGCCGGCTTCAGGCTCTGGAGCTGACGCGGGTGGTCACCTGGCCCACACTTGTGGAAGCGCAGCCTTCTGTAGAGGAGGTGGGGTGGTGGTCAGAGTCACATATCTGTGATGCACAGGAAATGAGCTGGATTCAGGGCTGGGGGAGAGTGCCTGCCTGCCACACACGAAGCCCTGGGTTCAAGCCCCACCACGGGAAAGGGAAAAGAAATTGGATCCATTTAAGTGAGTTCTAAGTGTTAGGACAGGAAAAGCAGGTGTAGCCAGGCTCGCTTACAGAGAAAGGCCAGGACGGGCTCGCAGGTGGAGGGTGTAGACGGCAGTAGGATGCACACCTGGTTCCCAGTAGTCCTTTCTCACTTTTTTTTTTTTTTTTTTTTTTTTGTGACACTGGGGTTTGAATTCAGGCTCTTGTGGTTGCTAGGCAGGTGCTCTACTACTTGAGCCATGCTTTTTAGGTAACTTTTTTGGAAAGGGTTTCCCATCTATGCCCAGGTTGGCCTGGGGTCTGTCCTCCTGTTTACAAGCCTCTTGTGTAGCTGGGATGACAGGCTGTGCTATCACTCCAGATCTTATTGGAAGTAATGGGTGTTGCCAACTATTTTCCTGGTTTGGCCTCAAACCGAGATCCTCCTGATGTCTGCCTCCAGATTAGCTGGGGTGACAGTTAGGAGCCACCAGCACCTGGGTTTTTCTTTTTCTTTTTTGAAGCAGGATTTTACTGTGTAGTCCAGGCTGCTTTAGCCTCCAGAGTTCTGGGATTACGGACGTGTGCTCCCACACCCAGCTTCCTAGTACTCTTGACCAAAATGCACAGGTCTTGGTTTTGCTTGGTGGTTCCTGACCCCATGGGCACGGAGGTGGCTCTGCCCCAGCTCTGTGCTTGTGGGGCCTGTTGCCTAGGCCCCAGCTAGCCTGGTGGCCACTCTGACCCTCCGGGAGGTGATTGGGGGTCGACCCTGGGGTGACTCCACGGTCTTGTCCAGCGGACAGGGAGTTCATCGAGGGCCGGAGGAGAGCCCTGAAGCGTTTCATCAACCTGGTGGCCCGGCACCCGCCCTTCTCCGAGGACGTCCTCCTCAGGCTCTTCCTGTCCTTCAGTGGCTCGGTAAGTGTGTCCTTGTGGGTCCTTACATGTTGGATTCTGTTTCCCAAAGCTCTCATTGTCATTCTCTTTTTTCTTTGGTGGTCGTGGGGTTTGAACTCAGGGCCTTGCGCTCTACCACTTGAGCCATGCCCAGGTTCATTTTTGTTCTTGAATCTCAGTTGTTTTGCTCTCCTGTCCTGGTTCGGGTGCCAGGGAAGGAATGTGTTTCGCCACGATTGACAGCCTAAGACTGTTCCTTTCCAAATGACAGGTCAGGTGTGATTTGAAGGGCACACTTGATGTCACTGACCTCACAGGATTTTACACTGCGTGGCCATCGCGGGTTGTCACTGTGGTGACTTTGAGCATTCGGAGATAACACACACTCCTGATGGATGGTTTGGGGTCTGGGGAGGAGCTGGGGACTGCAGATCTGAATATGTGTTTACTAAAAAAAAAAAAAATCGGAGAAACGGGTTGAGTCCCCACACAGATGCCATGTGGACGCCAATCTGGGAAGGACATAGCAGGAGACAGTGCAGGGTCCTTCCCCTTGCTGCCTCCCTTCACACTCTAGGGGGAGCCCAGCGCGGAAGCAGGAGGCTGGTGAAGCCGAGGCTGGGCTGGGAGCCGAGGCCTCCCAGGAAGGGATCACCAGGCACTGCTCTTGTAGGAAAACTGATGCTTACGGGGAAGGCCCCTTACCTGGCCGTACGGCAGGGGACACAGGACACAGGCAGAGTCAGCCGAGCTCCGGCAACACTGAGGATTGGGCTCAGGGCCTTCTGTGCACTAGGCGGGCGCTCCCCAGCCTCAGTGGAGTCTTTCTTAGGAACTGAGCTCAGGGCCTCCCATGTTCTGCCACTTGAGCCTCGCCCTGGTGCTACTGCTTTGCTTTCACATGGGGTCTATTGCCCAGGCTGGCCTCAGACTGCAGTCCTCCTACCTCTGCCTCCCTAGTAGCTGGGATTACAGGAGTGAAGCACCATGCCTGGGTCTAGGGTAGCGTTTTCAGTCCTGGTGGAGCTGAGCTTTTGATTGTCCCAGCAGGAATGGGACCGGGCGCAGGAGCCACCTCACTCCAGGCTGAGGACTGGGAGGTGGGCTGCAGAGGGGGAGGTACTCCCATTATGGCAGCATGTCTCCTCCCTCACCTTCCCCCAGAGAGGGAGTTTCCTGAGCCATCCCTGCACCCCCATTTTCCTCTTCGGTAACCTGGAGCAGGGGTCCTCATTCCTCCGTGTGTGGCAGCTGGTGTTGGGTTCAGGCCTGGCCTCGCCAGTGAGGCTCTGTTCCGATGGCCGGGCTGGGGCAGTGCTGCCCTCTGCCCACCAGCTCCCCCTGTGCACCTGGAAGAGCAGCTTCATGAATCGACTTGCTTCCCAGGGGTCCAGGCTGTCAGTCCCCAGTTTGCAGGTGGAGTTCCAGGTTTCTGGAAAGAGCCTGGCTGTGCTCCTGCCACCACACCAGGGTTCCCTATAGATGAAGCTCAAGGAAGGCCAGTCTGAGGCACAGCACCCCACTGGAAAAGCAAACGTGCAAGTGCGTCTTTCTCCTGGGCAGTGTGTCCTGTGTCACCAGTTTGCCTGCTCTCACTTCAGGGTCTGTGTTGGCAGAAGAGGGGAAGCTGTCTCTTTCTTCTTCCCGTTTTATTTGTTCATTTATTTTGAGATGGTGTCACACTACAGGCTGACCTCGACTTCATAGTCCTCCTGCATCAGCCTCCCGTGCTGGGATTAAAGGCATGAGCCCCCACACCCAGCCCGTCTCTTTCCTCTTGCAGGACGTGCAGAACAAGTTGAAGGAGGCAGCCCAGGGTGTGGGAGACGAGTTCCTGAGCTGTAAGCTGGCCACCAGGGCCAAGGTAGTTTCCGAGTTTGGAGCCTTTGTCCCCTTACCCAGAGGCACGATAGTGTTAGCCCTCTCTGCTGTGTCTTGGGGTCCCCGCACGTGTCCGTTTGACCGTTTTGGGTGCTCTGTGGTGGGGCTCTGCCTATCTGTGGACGTGCAGATGGGCTCAGGGCCTCCGTCCTCTTCCCCGCAGGACTTCCTCCCGGCCGACATCCAGAGCCAGTTCTCCGTGAGCCGGGAGCTGATCCGGAACGTGTACCACAGCTTCTACAAGCTGCGTGACCGCGCCGAGCGCATCGCGACCAGGGCCATTGACAATGCTGCCGACCTGCTCATGTTCGGGAAGGAGCTGAGGCAGGCGCCTGGGGCCCCGCGACGCCCCCGTCCAGCCACTCCCACTAGGGAAGGGTGATGCTGAGCCGTTTCCCACGTGGAGGTCTGGCTGGTGTCCCATTAGGCTGACTGGCCTTGGGAGAAGCAGCTTGTGGCCAGCGACACTTCCTCTGCTCTGCCCAGAGCAGCACCCAGTGTCCTCCCTCCATCCCTGCTCAGGGCTCCCGGGGTCCTTTTGGGAAGAGGAGATTCTGGAGGCCTGGGGTGGGACCTGGCGTCCCCCTGGCCCCTTTGGCCAGCACAGCCCCTCCCGGGAGCGCAGGTCTGGCGTCAGGCAGGCAGGCGAGTGTCTTCTCTCCTGTGTTGGCTCCTGCAGTGCCTTGGGGTCCGACACCACCCCGCTGCCGTCCTGGGCCGCTGTGCACCTCAGCACATGGGGCTCCTTGAAGCAGGCGCTGAAGGGCCTGTCTGTGGAGTTTGCGCTGCTGGCCGACAAGGCCGCTCAGCAGGTGAGTGGGCTTCTCGCCCCCGTCCCTAGAGTGGCCAGTCCCCAGAGCGGCCTGTCCCCAAAGCGGCCTGTCCCCAGAGCGGCCTGTCCCCAGAGCCCCCGTCCCTAGAGCGGCCTATTCCCAGAGCGGCCTGTCCCCAGAGCGGCCTGTCCCCAGAGCCCCCTGTCCCCAGAGCTTCCTGTCTCCAGAGCCCCCTGTCCCTAGAGCGGCCTGTCCCCAGAGCCTCCTGTCCCTAGAGTGGCAGGGGCGCCTCCTGCCCAGCCCGGCTCCCTGGCCTGAGCTGAGTGAACACAAGGAACACCTGTCCCCATGGGAACTTCCCGTCCCCATCTGTTCTGGGTGGCTTTGCAGGAGCCATTTATGCTTTTCTTTATTAAATTATTTTTGCAGTACTTGGGTTTGAACTTGGGGCCTTGCGTGTTAGGTGCTTCAGCATGGGAGCCACTCCTCACCCCTTTCTGCTTTGGTTATTTTTGAGATAAGGCCTTGCTTTATGCCTGGGCCACGCATCTCCTGTCTGTGCTTCCTGTGTGGCTGGGATCTAGAGCACTTTTGCCTGGGCTGGCTTTGAACCTCCCAAGTAGCTGGGATCATAGGTGTGAACCACTGTGTTCGGCTGCATTGGGCTTTTGTGCTATGGAACCGTTGCGTGATTTTGAGGGTGAAAGCCGGCCACCTGTCTCTCAGGTCAGGAACATGATCTTTAAGCTGCCAGCAGGTGTCAGATGAGTTGATGTCCTGTGAAGCTCCGCTCCTTGCCTGACGCCTGAAGCTCTATGGTGTCTAGGTGTGGCGGGTCCCGCTGCTGGGGACTTGGGTTTTTCTCGCCGTGGTGGGACATCAGGTGCTGTGATGTGTTTGTGACCATGAGGGAACTTGATCTCAGCTGGTGTGGAGCGTCCTGGGTTTCTTTCTGCTCCTGCCCCGGGTGCCCCCTTTGGAATCTGACTTTATGACTGTGTCGGTGTCTGTTTATCAGCCCTGGGTCCCTGTAGGTGCTCCTTTTCCAAGGCAGAGAGGACCGGGAATCAGGTGCCACGGGTTTGGCAGGATGGAGGAGCAGGGGTTCAGGACAGGACTTTCCCTTTGTAGTGCATGGGCCGTGACCCTGCTCCAGTGACTTTGGTCTCTGGGCCTCAGTTTCCCCATTGGTTAAATACAAGGGGCTGAACTGGATCACTGAAACAAACTGTTTTCAGGCTGAGTGCAATGGCTCACAGCTTCAATCCCAGCTACCTGGGAGGCAGAGATTGGGAAGATCGCAGTTTGAGGCTAGTGAGACCCCATTTCAACAAATAAGCCGGGTGTGGTGGTACACACTGGTAGTCCCGGCTGTGCAGCAGACATGGATAGGAGTGAGGTCTCAGGCTGACCCTGTCTGAAAAACAACCAAAGCAGAAAGGACTGGGGTGGCTCAAGTGGCAGAGCACTTGCCTAGCAAGCACAAGGCCCTGAGTTCAAATGTCAGCATCACCAGAAAAACCTCAAACAAAGACATCCAAACCTGCTGGGTTTGAAGGCGTCTCTGCCTGGTCTCGGGGCCTTCTGCAGCATGGGCTGAGGTTGTGCTTGGTGTGGGTCCCTGGTGGGTCCTGGGTCCGTGTTGCTTAACTCCCCCTCGTTCCCAGGGTAAGCAGGAGGAGGACAATGTGGTGGAGAAGCTGAACCTTTTCCTGGATCTGCTCCAGTCCTACAAAGTGAGTCTCGCGGCTCCGCGCTCTGGGACGGAGCCTGTGAGAATGACCTTGGTCATGGTTGTCCCAAGTGGGAGAAGCCCGGGGGAGAGAGAGGAGCCAGAGAGACAGACGGACAGACAGACACACACAGGCAGAGACAGGACACCTCTTGGGGACCGCAGCAGATGGGGGAAGCTTCCTGACTGTTGGAGCCTGCGTGTCTCCTCGTGGACCCCGACATTTCTCCCGGAATGTTCTAGAGGGGGTTCCTGTGTCAAGGGGGACAGTAGCAGGTCCTGGGGTCCTGATTCCGTAGCTGTGTTTTCACAAGGCTTCTGATTGGGGTTTGGGGCCTCTGGTTAACACTACTGGGTCTTCCTTTTGGGGCCGCCCGTCCTGGTGCTGCTGAGACACTGGGTCTCTGGATTTGGGTGGCATCAGCATCTGAGGCCCAGAACTGCCACCGGGCTCTGGACCGCTCGGGTCCCCTCCCTTCTGGTTGGGAACTGGGGTGGTCTGAGCGCTGGCCCGGCCCGAGTCTCTGGGTTCCACGCGTGTTTCCAGAGTGAGGATGATTGGGGTGCGGACTCCGTGAGAAGTCGGGGTCCCCCAAGGCCCTGGTGGCTCCTCGTTTTCTGCCTTTGCTCAGCCCATGAGCCTCAGCTGCCCTCTGCCTCTCGGGGGCGGGGGGTCTGGAACTGGTGGGGGGAGGGTGTCAGCATCCCTCGGCGCTGGGACCCTGGGTGAGCGCGTGTCCCTGCAGGACCTGTGCGAGCGGCACGAGAAAGGCGCGCTGCACAAGCACCAGCGTGCCCCGCACAAGTACGGCCTGATGAAGAGGCAGGCCGCGAGCCCCACGCACAGCCGCGAGCCCGAGTCTGTGGAGCAGCTGGAGTCGCGCATCGTGGAGGTGGGGGTCCGGGGCCCCTGTGAGCGCCAGTGTGGGGGGACGGCCCTGGTATTTCGTTCATGGAGTTTCCACGGGCCTGAGCGCCTGGGCGGAGGGCAGTCGCAGGGCTGGGCCTTGGTGTCCCCAGCCATGCCCAAGGCCGGCGCCCGGCGCCCAGCGAGGCTTCTCCTCACAGCAGGAGAACGTGATCCACAGCATGGAGCTCCGGAACTACTTCTCCCTGTACTGCCTGCACCAGGAGACGCAGCTGGTCCACACCTACCTGCCCCTCACCTCGCACATCCTCGGGGCCTTCGTCAACTCTCACATCCAAGGCCACAAGGAGGTGAGCCCTCCCTGCCCCACGCAGCCAAGGGCCAGGACAGTTGGTGGCACAGTTGGTGGGGTCGGGGTCTGCGTAGGTCTTGGAACACTGGTGTTCAGATCTCCTGGTCCTCTCCGTGGCCAGCGTGGGAACCATGAAGTTGTCCTTGGTTGGGGGGGGTGGGAGACACCAGAAAGAAGCAATCTGTCACCTCCTGGAGGGACACAGAGTCAGGCAAAGTGGAGTCTGAGCCCTGCGCTGAGGGGAGGGAGGGAGAGGTTCAGGACTGAGGCCCGGGGCTCCAGCAAGCAGACACTGTTCTGCAAACCCCGGCCAGCAGGTTCCAGATGGTGGCTGCTTTAGTCCTGCAGAAGTGCTGTGAGTGGTCCTGGGACATCAGAGCTGCAGGTCACCCTCCTGGCGTGTGACCTGGAGCCTGTGACACCGGGTTTTTTTGGGGGGGGCCACTGGGGTTTGAACTCGGCCTCGTTCCCCTAGGCAGGGGCTCTGCCTCTGGAGCCACGCCCACAGAGCTTTGTGCTTTAGGGTCTTGAACTTTTTGCCCAGGGCCAGCCTTGGACCGCGATCCTCCTACAGACCCTTCCTGAGTAGCTGGGACCAGAGGTGGATGCCTGGCTTTTTTGTTTAGATGGGGTCTTGCTATTTGTCCAGCTGGCCTAAAATCTCCATCCTCTTCATCTCGATAGCTGGGATTACAGGCGTGAGCCACCGAAAGCCGTCACTGATTCTTTGCTTACTCTTCTTGGCAGTGACATTAGTCTGTCCATTTCCAAACAGCACGGGACACTTGTGTGTCCAGGCATGGGGCAGTTCCTCTTCTCTGGCCTGTGTGGTCCTCACGTACCCTTCTTACTGCCTGTTAGGCCTGGCTTCCTTCATTTTCAAGTGACCGTTGGTGTCGCTTGTTGGCCCTGGGACCATTATTGCCTCCTAAGGGGGGCACACCTGCCTGTGGCTACCTGCACCCCCTGGACACGGGAGGAGCCCAATCTCAGGCTTGGTTTCCCTGCCAGCCTCCCGGGTTGGCCTGGGTGTTGCAGGTGACGGTTAATGTGGCTGTCATTTTTTGGCACCATCCAGCTGGGCTTTGATGATGCTGGGCACAAGCTGGAGTGTGGTGTCGCTATCACCAAGGAATACACAAGGGGGCCAGCCAGCAGGGTGTCCCCTCGTGCCCTGCCAAGTTGTCCAGAGCCCTGGGGTGGGGGCACTGAGCCACAGCATCTCAGACCTGCAGCTCAGGAAGGGCATTGTAGGAGCTCAGGGCTTGGGATGGACGGAGATTGTCAAGCCAGCCGGGAGTGACTGAGACTGGACGGGTCAGCAGCCAGCCCAGACCTTGGTCTACACCCATCCAGTCAGAGCCGCCTGGCTGTGCAAGGTGCAGGCTCAGTGCTGCAGACGTTGGGGGGCGGAGGCTCAGTGAGCTGTACTGTTAGCAAAACGCCTGGGGGGTCATTGTGCTAGGTGACAAGTTGCTGGACTCCTTGAGTCCTTGGAGCTCCGTGTCACCTGTAGCTTTCAGAGCACCCAGGCCTGAAAGGTTTTTTTGGCACTGGGGTTTGAACTCAGGGCATTGGTCTTACTAGGCAAGCACAGTACTGCTTGAGCCACACCCCAGCCCCTTTGCTGTAGTTATTTTGGAGATGGGGGTCTCGCCTTTTGCTGGGTGGGCTTGGACTGTGATACTTTTATTTTAGGCATACCCTCAAAGCTGGGATGACAGGTGTGTCTTACGATGCTCAGCTTTTTTTGCTGAGATAAGGTCTCATGGGCTTTTTGCCCTGGGTGGCTTTAAATCACAATCCCTCCTGATTTCAGCCTCCCGAGTAGCTGGGATTACTGGTGTGAACCACTGTGCCTGACTTCCAACAGTAATGTTTCTTGAAGTACTGTGTTACATAGACTTGTGGCCCTTTGGCTCTGCATGCAGGGAACAGAGAGATTTGCCACCTATGACCTCTGGAGGTTGGGCCACCACTAAGGGAGCAGGAAGGGGCCGCTCTGCCCTCATTTGGAGGCCTTGTGATTGTGGAGTCCAGGGAGGTGACACCCCTGAATGGACGGGGTTGAGGCCACTCTGCTCAACTCCTTTCCTCCCCCTGCAGATGAGCAAGGTGTGGAACGACCTGAAGCCGAAGCTCAGCTGCCTCTTTGCTGGACCACACGGTGTACTGACACCTCCCCAGTCCCCGCAGGAGGACGGCCTGTGTCCCCGCTAGTGCCCGAGGCCTGCATGGAGCTCCCTGCGGCCTCACTAAAACCTCTTTGCAAATGGTGTGTCCCTGGCCGAGTCCCTTCAGATGACAGATGGGCCCCAGGGGCTGAAGCAGAGGCCTGCTGCCTGCCTGCCTGCACTCCAGGCCGCTCCTGCGGTCTTTATGTCTCCGTCTTCGTGGGTGGGGGCCTGTTGACTGGGTGGTGACAAGTTGGGATGCGTTTCTGTCAGTGCTCATGGTTGGGGACAACCAAGGGTTACTTCCACTAGCAGGTGGTGCCTGTGGGAGTGAAGAGGGGCCCAGTGGTTCTAGAATGGTCCAGGTGTCCAGCCTGGGGGTCAGTCAAGCAGGGGACAGCTGCGGGGTGAGGAGCTGGTAGGTCTCAGGGAGAGGTTGGGCTGGGGACAACAGACACCCTGGGTAGGTGGGGTCACTGCTGTGCGGGGTAGCAGGACAGCAGGTGAGGCAGGGATGCTGGTGGTGCAGGTCACTGGTGCAGCGCTGAGCAAGGAGCACGCTCCATGGCATGTATCCAGAGAGCCCTGGCCTGGGACTGACCACGGGGGTCAAGTGACCTGAGGCTACTTCCTTCACACACAGATGCTGATCCCATGTGGCCCAGGGTCAGAATGTGCGGGACAGAGGTGCACAAGGTCTCCAGAGGTGACATGTCTGGAGGTCCCCCATCTGCCCAGGGCTGCAGACTCTTGTCTTTCCCTTGTTTGGGGGAGCTGGAGTCCCTGCTGAGGGGCTGAGGCTGGAAGGCCTGGCAGGGAACAGGTGTAGGACGTGGGGGACTTGCTACATTTGGCCGGGGCCACCTCTCAGACCATGTCCTTCTCTTGGGTGACTGCACCTCCTCCCGTCCTCCCTGCTCACCCAGGGGACTGGCCATCTCAGTGCTCCATGGCCTCAGGTGGGTCTGCGTGCTGCCGCGCAGCTCTCTGGTTCAACACATGGAGCTGGCCTTGGCCCTGCTGGCTTCCTTGAGCCCTGTCTCGGCCTGGGAGAGATGGGCGGAGGGTGGGACGGACCTGCAGGTCACTGAAGTCCCTCCTTTCCAGGGAGACAGCCCTTGGGAGGATTGTGCCTTCTCCCTGGACGGGCCTCCAGGGAGGCCCGGATGACCGGTGCCCCACGGGGACGTGCTCCTCACACAGGCCAGAGGGGCTCAGGGCCTCTGTACAGGCCGATCGCAGGCCGTGTGGGGAGACTGTGGTAGCCTGGTGGTTGTGGGCTGGCTGGAAGCCAGGGCCCAGCCTCCTGGGTTTCAGGGCCCCCTCTGCCCATGGCCTTCCTCGGTGGAAACCAGTTCTGCTGCTGTGTGGACCTGTCACTCACAAGGCTGCCCTCAACACCTAAGACACCTGAGCCGCAGGGCCTCTGCTGAGGCCTGGCTGCTCGCCGGGTGGCCATCCGGCTGCAGGACCAGAGAAGTGCCACGAGCTTTCCTGAAAACAGTGTTATTGGCGGGGACCCTGGGCTCAGTGAGTCACAAGGTCACATTCCTGGTGGCTGCTTGCTGCCAGGTAGGATGGTGGCTGAGACTCAGTGGACAGTGGATTTCCATCACCCTCTCCCACGTCCAGGCACGTTAGGAAGGTCTCAGGGCCTCCGGCAGCAGAGGCCACCCTTACCATTTTTAACTGTCACTCCCTGGCTCCAGGCCACTGATGCTGGAGCCCAGGCTGCGCTGTCTCTCTGCTGAGCTGACCAAGGGCCCCGCTTCCTGAGGCCACCTTTTATGCTGTGCCCACACCCGGCCTGGCAGGACAGCTGTGTGAATCTCGCGGGAGGTGCCAGCTGCCACATGGGAGTCCTGTCCTGGGTGAAGCGGCTGAGTGAGGGCTCGGTCGTGGCCTTAGCTGGACGTGTGCCTGCCAGTGGGCTCTGCAGAGCAGGAGTGAAGGGGACTCTGCCAGGCCCACCCAGCAGGGAAGACAGGCTTCAGGAGTCCCTGTGGCTATGCCATGACTGTGAGCCTGTGGATGTCAGGCTTGCTTTCAGTGTTGGGGGGCCTTCCTCACAGTCTGTGTGAGTTGGGCCCATGTGTGAAGCACTTTATGGGCTGCAGGAACCGGTCATGCCACACGCAATAAACTGGAACTATTGACGTGGTTTTCACTGCAGTTTTATCCATGAAGCCGCCGTGAGCAGTGTGTGCGTGCGTGTGCGTGTGAAAGTGGGATACGCTGTAAGCTCTTGTGTGCTGAGTGCTTCTTCCTCCTTCTTCCTGCTGCTTTCTCATGGGGAACAGAAGACCCAAGTGTCCCCAGGGGAAGGGAACGGGTCTGCAACATGTCAACCGAGGCTTCGACCCTGGACCTTACAGTGCCTGTTTCCCCCGCCTTAAATGGGGGGAATTAGAAAAGGGGTGGCAGTAAGAGGACATGTCCCCTGGCAGACACCCAGCCCTCCTTTACCCTGTCCCTTTACCCCACCTCTGTCCAGCAGGGAGGTCACAGCTGCACACCAGGCAGCTTCCTGTGGACAGGATTGGGTAGGCTGTGCTGGTCCAAGCTTTATTTTTGTATCCATCCGGTCACCTTCCAAATGAAAAATAATCCCTGCCTCTCAGCGAGCGCTGTGAGTGCGCTGGACCAGCCGTCTGCAGCTGTCTAGTGGCCATTCCCCAGCCGGGGCCAGCTGGGTCCTCACATTAGACATCGTCCACTTCACGCAGCGCGTAGTCCAGGATGGTGTCCTGACCCTGGAACTTGAAGTACCCACGGAACTTCTTCTTCTGCAGCAGCAGTGGGAACCAGTAGCTGTCATCAGGCCACATGTCACCAAAAGGGATCTGGTCCAGTGGGAACCACTGAGGGCGCATTTCTGTCACGAGGGGCGGAAGGGGAGAGCACGGGTGTTCAGCCTGGACTCAGACTGGCCCATGAGGAGTCTCGGAAGGGCTCTTGCTAGGAGCATGGCTGGCAAACTGTGACATTACGACTACTGTCTGCATTTTGCAGAGCAGGAAAATGGGCTGCTGTGCCCTGGCCCTGAGACAGCCTGCACCCAGTGCCTGCCAGCTAGATCAGTGGAGCACGACCCCACTGTGTCGGGAGCAGAGCCCGAGACTCACCGTCACTCTCCACGGGTGTCCCCTTCACGCTGTCGGTACAGAAGATGTGCACATCCATGAGCTCGGGGGCGCCCACAAACTCAAACACGATGTGGCCCACCTTGTGCAGCGCGTCCACCGTCAGGCCACACTCTTCCTGCAGCTCCCTGCGGCAGAGACGGGCATCAGAGACAGCGCGGTGCCAGTGCCCGCCCAGCTGAGCACTTTTTAAATCTTCACGACGCTCCTAAGAGGTAGGCATGGTTGTCACTGTCATTCTCTTTTCAGATGAAGAAACGGAGGACCCCAGGGGGGACTCAAGGATGTGGCTGTACCCCCATCCCCCCATCCCGTCCCCTCGTCCCCTGCTGGGCCTCCTCACCTCTTGGCCCCGTCCTCGATACTTTCTCCCTCCTGCACTTTGCCCCCAAAGCCATTCCAGCGGCCAGCGCCAAAGCCCCTCTTCTTCATGCCCAGAAGGACGTGCTGGGGCCGTAGCACCAGCACCAGGGTGTAGAGCCTGGAGGCGCCCATGGTGTCCTGCGGCTGTGAGGAGGGCAGGAGGGCCGGCTCAGCCTTGAGTGTGAGGACGGTGTGCTGTAGTGAGCAGTCGCCAGGAGAAGGGCAGCCTGGTGGTGTGTCCCCAGCCCTGACACTTGTAGCTTGTCTGGTGCAGGTGCAAACCTGCCCTTGAACAAATGACCTTTTGTTGTTTGAGACAACCTGGCCTCAAACTTGCAACTCTCCTGGCTGAGGGCTGGGATTACAGGTGTGCACCGCCACACTCGGCTTACTATCTTTTATTTCAGTGCTGGGGATCAAACCTAGGCCTTGCACATGTAGGCAAACCATTCTACCACAGAGCACCATACCCAGATGAACAAATGATTTTCTAGTGTAGGAACAGGCAGACCAGGGCTGGCAGAGTGGCTCAAGTGTGAGGCCCTGAGTTCAAACCACAGTGCCACCAAAAAGAGCAAAAGGGCAGACCAGCCCCAATGCCCACCTGGCCCCACTGGATAACCATATGGTTTTACCAGTGGTTCTGGGCCAGACTCTGGCCCTGTCCCATCATTAGCTCTACTGGGACCTGGCCTCTGCCTCTCAAGTCCCAGGAAATGCATGGCTTTGTTGGAGGCAGGTCCACCTAATGTCCTGGCTGGTCCTCCCCTGCAGTAGTTTGTACCTCACTTTCCCAGCTCTCACTCCTGTTGTTGTGGGACCTGGCACCGAGAGGCCACTAGAAGCCACAGGACCCCTCCCACTCCACCAGGTGTGTGTGGCCCAGAGAAAGATCTGAGGGTGGTGTCTTAGCCAGGGCCCCTGCAGGAGAAAGGACCCGGAAGAAATTCAGAAGCAAAGGACCAAACTTCCTATGGCTCTGGCCTTGTCCAGGTCTGGGGACCATACTTGGCCAAAGCAGGATTCAGAGCCTGGGATCCTCCTCAGAAGTTATGGGCTGGGTCCCAGGGGTGGTTGCCAGTCAGGCAGGGGAAATGGGTTGGTGGTCAGCCTTTCCATGAGTCCTGTGTCCTTTGTCCTGACAATGATCTGCTTGTGTCTGAGGTCCTGGCTTCCTAAGTAACTCTAATGGTCCCAACAACGTCAGCTACCACTTATTAAGCACCGACTGTATACTGTCATTTTTCTGTGTCCACCAAGGATTGGTTCCAGGAACCCCTGTGGATACCAAAACCTAAGGATGCCGAAATCCCTTAAGTACAGTGCTGCATAACCTACATGCTTCCTCCTGTACCTTAAATTATCTTCAGATGACTTGCAAAACCACGCGGTGTGGCTGCTTTGGAAATGGTTGCTACAGTTAATTCAGGGCAGAATGTTGGTGTCACTTTCTGAGACAGGGTCTTGCTCTGCAGCCCAGATGGCCTTGACCTTGAGCTCTTCCTACCTCAGCCTCCCGGAGCCGGGATTACGGGCGTGCACCGCCATGTCCGGTTTCTCTGAGTAGCTCTGATTTGCTGGATGGACTTCCTGACGCTGACCCCAGAGCACGGAGGACCGCCATACTTCCTCACAGACCCCAGCCACCTCACTTCCAAGACTCGCGTTCCCGTTTTTACAGGGAAAAACTGAAGCCCAGAGAGGCAAGGTCTGACACAGGTCGACCGGCCGGGCCAGTGCCTGCACCTGGCCCGAGGTGCGGTCACCCCGCTAAGGTGAGGGTGGGGCAGGGCTCAGTCTTGCCTGCAGGGGGCGCTGGTTCCGGGCGGCGCCCGCTAATGATGGCTGGGCTCGATCCCGGACACCGGTTCCTTGCTTTCGCCTGCCCTTCCCCCCACCTCCCCGTGCCTCCCTCGCTCTCTGCAGTCTCCCTGGGTGGAGACTCCCAAGTCTACCTGGCTTCCTTGATCTCCCCCACGGTCTCCCGGGTTCGGCTCCTCCTCTACGCGCTTTCGTCCCGCGCGCCACATCCGGGGCTAGCGGGGGGGGGCGGGGCCTCGGGCCGGAACTTCCGGCGGCGCGCGGAGGGCGCGAGCGGGCGCCCATGGCCAGGTGAGCGGGTCGGTCTCCGCTGAGCCGAGGCCTGCTGCAGGCGTTCGGTGTCCTCGTGTCCTCATCGGAAGAAGGGGTGCGGGCCCGGGAGAGCGAGGCCTGGAGAGAGGGACGGGGAGACAGGGCGGGCAGGTAGAGGACCGCAGTCCTAAGGGATGCAGGGCATGGGATGGCGTTGGCGGGGCCCCCGGACCATGAGACCTGTAGGGCATGTCCGCACAGGTCCCGCTGTTCCCCAGCCCTGGCCATTTTTCCTTTTTTTATTTATTTTATTCCTACTGTTTTTGGCGGAACTGGGCTTTGAACTAAGGACCTTGCAGTTGTGAGGCGGGTGCCCTGCTTCGCCCCATGGTGACATTTTGAATAGGCTCGTGCTGTGCCTCCCAGGACCGCCTTGATCCTCCTCTTTACGCTTCCTGTGTAGCTGCGTAGACAGGAACGCACCGCCATGCCCAGCTTTATTGGTTGAGATGGGGTCTCCAGAACGCTTGCCCTGACTAGTGATCGTCCCGATCTGCACCTCCCAAGTAGTTAAGATTAAAGACGTGGGCCACCTTGCCCGGCTATCAGTCTTGAAAAACATGGGAGACCAGGCCCTGTGCTAGAGGTCTATAGACAGGTGACCCACACAGGGACCTGTCTGCCTGGGGTTTTCTGGCAGTCTTTCAGGGTCCGAAATTCTGACCAGACGAGGAAGGAATGGCACCGCCATTAGTTTCATCAGCACCCGGAAAGAGCTGGTTGACGTGAACAAGGTGACTGTCACTGAAGTTTGAGTTTTCCTTCAGAGGAACCCTCTAGGGTACAAAAAGTACTTCCCTGCAGCAGTGTCCTACTGTCACTGTAGTCAGACTGCTGTCAAAGCGCCACAGACCAGAGCAGTTGCCTTAAACACACGCATTTGTTTCTCACAGTCAGGAGGCTGGAAGTTCAAGGTCAAGCTGTGGGGAGAGCTGGTTCCTTCTGAGGCCTCTTGTTTTTGTTTTTTTTTTTTTTAAGGTGGGACTGGGGTTTGAACTCAAGGCTTCACACTTGCAAAGCAGCCGGTCTACCTCTTGAGCCACTCCTCCAGTCCACCTTGCTCTGGTTATTTTGGAGATGGATACTGGTCAGATTGGTTTAGGGCCCACCCCAATAACTCCTCTTACCTTAATTATCCCAGTCCAACTTAATTACTCTGGGTCCAACTCCAGTCACACTGTGAGGTGCTGGGAAACATGAATTTTGGAGGCCCCCTCTCTGGCTGTGTAGTGCTGTGGAGTTCCTTCCTGGGCCTCTGTGCCCATCTTAAAGATGGGTGACTTGGACAGACGACTCTGCACAGCTGTGACCTGCCACCCTGTGCGATGTCAACCTGCCTGCTCCTTTCTCCATCAGGTTCCTGAAGCTGGTATGTGCTCCCCAGTGGGGTCAGAGGTTCCACACTGCCACATGTCACTACAAGGACAGGACTGGGGCGGAGCACCTGTGGCTGATGCGGCATTTAAAGGACCCATTTGTGAAGGCGGCAAGGGCAGAGACCTACCGCTGCCGAAGCGCCTTCAAGCTCCTGGAGGTGGACAGGCGGCACCAGCTGCTGCGGCCGGGCCTCCGTGTGCTGGACTGTGGGGCCGCACCTGGAGCCTGGAGTCAGGTGGCGGTGCAGAGAGTCAATGCCACAGGCACAGGTAGGGCCTCCATGCTGCAGCCAGGGCCTCTGGTCCCCGTGGGTCTTGGGATGCCAGCCAGCCGCCCCTCCTGGGGCCCAAAGACATCCAGCCACTTTGTGCAGGCACTTGCCTGTGTTTTGTGGTAATAGTGATAGAAACAGGACACTGAACTTTCCAAAGAGAAAAACTGGACAGGTGTCAATGAGTCGGGCACGGTGGCACACCTGTCACCCAGAGTAAGCCAGGCGTGGTGGTGTCCATCATCCCAGCTGTGCAGGTCCAGGCAAAATCTTGAGAATTTACTGCAAAGTAACTTATGTGAAAAGGGGCTGGGGTGGGGCTTAAGGGTAAAGCTCCTGCCTAAGAAGGCCAAGTTCAAATCCCAGTACTGCCCGAAAAAAAAAATAAAGAAAATGAAGCTGTCTGAAGGCACACCGCCATAGCAGACTTGGAAGTGCTGCTTCGGCCTTACTGGGGCTGTTTTGTCACTTGGTGTTCATAGTGAGCCCCCTGATTTGAAGACTGATTACAGGCACCTTAAATTCCTGCGCACACGTTAGGCGCTCAGTTGCTGTGCAGAAGCTCTCGGTCCCATGTTATATTCTGTGACCTGCTGAGTGTCTCCCTGCCCTGTGAAAATACAGCTATGCCTCCCCAACACCAAATGGTGCCCAAAAAGCAATGTGAATGTTACGGTGATCCTCCCACGCCAGAAAGGGCATGCGAGGTGCTTAGTTGACATGACCAAGTGACAGCTTGAGGTCTGTGGCACGGTGGCCCATCTTCGGCAGGAGCTGGCGGTATTAGAATGAGTGAAGCGCCTGCCACAGCACTGAGCTCTGCGCGTCCTCAGCATGTGAGTTTTAACTCTGTGCAGCCACTGTGGACTCAATGCAGACACCCAGGGTCTGCTGTGTCGGCTTCTTTTCATGACAGTGCAGCTGAAGCTGCCCTTGAAGCCTGGGGGTTTCACAGAGGCCCAGCTGGGCTGCCACCTCCAAAGCCACAGGGGAGACTTCATGGCCAGGCTTCAGGATTCTCCACTCTAGGCCAGCACAAGCACCCAGCTTTTATCTGCTTTATATTTTAGGGGTTGGGATAAGATTGTCCATATAAAATGGCTCCCTGATTAAGAAAGAGAAAGCTGGTCACACACACAATTTAAAAATATGTAATTTGCATTATGTTTTGTGTTGGAAGGAATTGGGAAAGGTGGATCACACCTGTAATCCCAGGTCCTTGGGAGGTAGAGATCAAAAGATCATGGTTCAAGGCCACTGGGGAGAAAATGAGTGAGACCCCATCTCAACAAATAAACAAGGCATTGTCGTGTGTGCCTATCATTCCAGCTGTGCAGGAGGCATAAGTAGGTAGGATCATGGAGTGAAGCCAGCCCTTGCCAAAATCTTGAGACCTTATCCAAAAATAAACTAAAGCAAAAACAAAGGGGTGGTGGGGGGGATCAAGTGGCAGAATGCCTGCATGGCAAGTGCAAAGCCCTGAGTTCAATCCGCAGTACAGCAAAAAGAAAAAGTTCTGTTGGGGTTGGAGTTGGTGGACACGCCTATAATCCCAGTATTTGGGTCACTGAGGCAATGGGACTGGGAGTTCGAGGCCAGCCTGGGCTACGTAGTGAGACCCTCTTTTGGAAAAACAAAAGAGCTGGTCCTCCTAGTAACTGGTTTTGGTGGTGCTTGTTCCCCTGCCTGCTGTTCAGACTCAGGAAAATGGTCCAGTGTCATGAACAGAAGTGACAGAAAACAGGTCCCCTCCCAGCGTTGCTATCTGTAGGAACTTACTGAGGATGCAATGCTGCGGGTGGCAGAGAAAGGTTAGAAGTGGAACACCAGACCCAGTTGTTCTGCTGTCCTGGGCTGAAAACAGGGTTTTCACCTTTGAAAAATGAGGTTCTCAGTCTGGGTTTGAACTCGGGGCTCTGCACTTGCAAAGGAGGCGCTCTACCACTTGAGCCACACCTCCAGTCCATTTTGCTCTGGTTATTTTGGAGATAGGGTCTCATGAACCGTTTGCCTGGGCTGGGGTTGAACTGCGATCTTCCCTATCTCAGCCTTTCAAGTAGCTGGATTAGAGGTGTGAGACACTAGTGCCAGCTGAAATTCCACTTTTTATATGGACAGAAAACATGTCCCGTTCTGACCCCCAGATGCCCTCATTAAACAGACTGAACTTGGGAGTCTATGACTGTGCCCTTAACTTACCAGCCCCGACAACTACTGACAGCTGAGCCCCTCAGCGTGCTGATGCCGAGGGGCACCTGACTTGTGGGTTCTCCGAGTAGAGGTACAGAGGAGGCGGTGGTGGCTGAGAGCGTGGGAAGATTCGGGCTGTGAGTAACACGTGTTGATTCTTCCCAGATCCCCGCTCCCCTGTGGGCTTCGTGCTGGGAGTGGATCTCATGCACATTGCCCCATTGGAAGGAGCGACTTTCCTGTGCCCTGCTGATGTGACCGACCCGAGAACCCTGCAGAGAGCACTGGAACTGCTGCCTGGCGGGAAGGCAGATGTGATTCTGAGTGACATGGCACCCAATGCCACCGGCATCCGGGGCCTCGATCACGACAGGCTCATCAGCCTGTGCCTGACCCTTCTGGACGTGGCTGCAGCCATCCTGCTCCCGGGGGGCACTCTGCTTTGCAAAACCTGGGCTGGGAGTCAGAGCCGTCAGCTGCAGAGGAGGCTGGCTGAGGAGTTCCAGAGCACGAGGACCGTGAAGCCTGAGGCCAGCAGGAAGGAGTCGGCAGAGGTGTACCTCCTGGGCATGCGGTACTGCGGGAGAAGGGGCCGCGAGGACGTGGCTGCTCCGACCTGTGACAGCCGCTGCCCTGTGCTCTAGCCTGCAGATGCCAGGACCCTGTTTAACCAGAAAAGAGGCCGCAGTGCATTCAACGGCCATGAGAAGTGACGAAAAGCAGTCGTGTGTGTCACTGTTAATCGTGTCCTTTCTGAGACGGCGTCTCCCCGTGTAGCTCAGGCTGGGCTGGAGCTCGCTGGCTTGGAAGTCCTGAGCTACCCCAGCCTCCTGAGTGCTGGGATTACAGGCATGCGCCACCCCCCCCCAGCCTAGCTCACGATCCTTTCAGAGAAACTTAGAAACAGGTGGAGAATGAGGACCACGGGGGGCAGATGGGGCGGCTGGGAACGCGGCTCCCTGGGTAGTGCTTGCCCAGTGCGCGAGGCCCTGGGTTTGATCCCTAAGACTGCAAAAGAAGAAGAAAAAAAAACCCAACCCCAAACCAAAAAACCGGAGCCGAGATGGGCACGGTCGCGTGCCTTCCGGGACGTGCCACGCGCGGGGCCGGGGGTCTCTTGCTCTGGGCACCTGCGGTCAGCTGTGCTGCTGGAAGAACAGAAGGACCCCGTTCCGTGTGGGGTCGGGAGCCGTGTGTCCCGTGGATGGGGCGGGGCGCCTCGCCCCGGGTCGCCGTGGGTCCCGCGTCCCTGGTCTGGGCGGGGGCCGCGCCGTAACTCGGGGCGCTCTGATGGGGGTGGGAGGGGGTCGACGCGCAAGCGAACGGACGCGGAAGTAACTCCGGGACCAGCCGGCGGCTTGTGCTCCGTGCTTTACGGCCGGCTCCGGGTCTCGCGAGAGCTCCGGCCCACGTCTCGCGAGAAGTGGGCGCGGGCGGAGCGAAGGGAGATCCGAGCGGCGGCGGCAAAGCGGTAGCGCGCGGTGGGCGGCGATCGTGGTCGAGGTGAGCGGCGGTTCCGGGGCGCACTGCCGCCCCCCCTGGCCTGTCCTCGTCCCCCCGAGGATGTGAGGGCCCGGGGACCAGCGCGGCCACGTGTGCGGGCAGCGGGCTCCCTGGTGCCTTGTTGAGGTGCGAACGTAGCTCCGGGTTGGTCTGGAACTCGCGATCCCCGGTGCCGACGCGTCCCGAGTGCGGGGATTACAGGTGTGCATCACCACGCCCGGCTCATTTTTTTCCTGGGTGGAACCGGGGTTGGAACTCGGGGCTTCGCCCTTGCAAAGCGCGCGCTCTCCCTCCAGTCCATTTTGCTCTTACTATTTTTTTGGAGATGGGGTCTGGAGAATATTTGCCCGGGCTGCCTTCCGACCTCGATCCTCCTGATCTCAGCCTCCCAAGTAAGCTAGGATTGCAGGCGTGAGCGCTGGCGCTCCGCTCACTCCTGCAGGTTTCCGCCGCCAGCCCTTTGCCCAGGCTCAGGGACGTCCCGGGCCCTTGCGGTTCTCCAAAGCGGTGCAGCCTGACCTGGCTCCCATGGCTGGCTGTGGGATGGTCTGGTTTCCAGAAGCTGAAGCCAGTCCTGTTGGTTCTTCTGTGTCAGTGGGTCAGCAGCCCCCAGAGAAAGCTGGAGAGTGGCTCTGGCCGACCGTGGGGAATGGTGGGTCGGACTTGGAGGACTGAGCTCGGGGACCCCACCTCTCAGGCCAGGGTCTGCCCTTCAGTGCCACCCATCTTTACTTCCTGGCCTATGAGAAGGTTGCATGACACGGTTACTGTCACGTGGGAAATTCAGAGGCAAGCTAGGATTCTGCTAGGTTTTTTTTTTCTTTGCATTATATTTACCTATTTAGGTGATGCGGGGTTTGAACTCAGGGCCTCAAGCTTGCTAGGCAGGCACTGTACAACTTGAGCCACTCCTCCACCCCTAATTTTTTTTTTTTTTTCTGCTTTTGGAGCAGGGTCTGCGTAGCCCCTGCTGACCTTGGACAGCCATCTTCCTGCTCCAGTGCTGAGATTACAGGCTGCACTGCCATGCCTGGCTCATTTTTTAAAAAAGGGGTTTGCAGGTGTGTTTTCAATCCCACACTTAGGGAAATCAACCTGGGCTGCCTCTGTGTAAGGCAGAGGCAGTGCCGACGTGTGGGAATTCATGCTTCTTGGCTCCACGTGTACCCGAGATGCTCCACACCTGGTGGGTGGCTGTGGCCTGTGTGGGATGGGCGCTGGGGATGCAAATCTGGCTGCGATGCCTTCTCACGCAGGCTTGTGGAGCACACGCCCCCTCACCCAGGCAGACCCGAGTTCTGATCTCCTGTACCTTTGAGGAGTCTCAGTCTGTCATCTGTAAATCTGTGTCAGCACACAGTCCTCACCGGTGTGTGGAGTCTGAGCTGGCGTGTGTAATGCACAAGCGGACTGCTGGTCAAACCCGCGGGAAGTCACACCGTCTGCCATCGGACAGCGTGCTGCGTGTGCACAGCACCTTTGCAGCGTGGGTTCTCACAAGTGTTTCGTGGACAAGGAAGCTGAGGCTCAACAAGCTCAGGCGCTCAGGAGGCAGTGGCAGGAGGACTGTGAGTTTGAGGCCCAAGCCAAACTTTTGAGACCCTATCAGAAGCCAAAACAAAAGGGCCAGGGGTTTAGTGCAGGTGGCAGAGCACTTGCTTAGCACGTGCGAGGACCTGGGCTCAATCCCAGCACCGGGGGTTTGGAAGTGGTGGAGTCTAGCAGCTGACTAAGTGGGATCTCTCTCTCTCTCTTTCTCTCTCTGTCTCTGTGGGAGTGGGAGCACTGCTGACATCACTGACCCTGTGTGGTTACAAGTGGCATTGCTGTGGCCTCCACCACCCTTATCCTGCTGTGGTGTGCTTTGGTTCTGACTCCCAAGGTGCGTTTTGTTTTTGGTGGTGCTGGGGTTTGAACTCAGTCTCATGCTTGCTAGCCAGGCGCTCTTACACTTGAGTTCCTCTGTTAGTCCTTCTCCTTTTTTTTGTGATAGCGTCTCATGATCTATTTGCCTGGGGCTGACTTTGAACCATGGTCCTTCTGATCTCTGTGTCCTGAGTAGCTGGGATTACAGGCGTGAGCCACCACACCTGGCTCCAAGGTGTGGTTTGTGAGCACCCCGGAGGGCTGTGCCTCAGGGCTGGGTCTGTTCCTGGTGTGCAGGCCAGCCCTGGAGTGTGGCTTGGTGGCAGGTTTTTAATGCCTCATTTCCTGTCTGGGAAATTGGCAGTGCTGGCTCTTGGTTTGATCTGGAGAACACGGTTGTGGGCACTGAGGGCATTAGGGGAGTGGGCTCTGCAGTGGCACTCGGTACGGCTGGCTCTGACCCTGCCTTTGTCTCCCGGAAGGAAGGCAGCCATGGAGGACCTGGGGGAGAACACCACCGTCTTGTCCACGCTGAGGTCTCTGAACAACTTCATTTCTCAGCGCGTGGAGGGAGGATCCGGCCTGGACGTGTCCACGTGTGCGCCGGGTTCCCTGCAGAAGCAGTACCAGCAGAGTATGCAGGTGAGGGCCTGCGGGCTGGGGGCTCGGGGCTACACCTGGGCTCAGGTGAGCAGGGTGTGCTGGGGTGGGATCTCTGGGGAAAGACTTGTAGGCTCGGGCTAGGGCCTGTTTGAGTCCTACACGGTTAGGCAGGACCTCGGTAGCCTCACCTGCAGGACTCACCCTGCGCATTTGTCACGGGGGGCTTCTCTGGAGGCCAGGACCTGCCTCTGACATCCTTACTGAAGGCTGCCTGTGAGTCCCCAGAGAGTGTGGGCTCACACCACGCTCACAGTAATGCACTCACCGACGCGGACGGTAGGGTCAGAAAGCCAGTTTATTCATGTAATTGGGGACAAATCCCAAGCTGCCTGGGTGCAGGAGTACCAGAATTGTCCAGCCAGCATTCTTTTGCCTTGAGGGTGTGACACAGGAAGGCTGGGACTGGGTACTGTACCATCTGCTCTGCAGAGGGCCAGTGTGGCCCGGGGAAGGGGGTGGGATTTTGACTACAGAAGCTCACTCTGCTTTTAGTCCCATTTCACTCCACCCCAAGTCCTTTCGGATGCTCACTGTGGACGCAGTTGCAAAAGAGTCGGATCTCACCAAGGGCTCGGTGCTGAAAGGTCGTGGGCTCTGTCCCAGTTGGGGGTGGGGTGCCTGGGCCGAAGGGTGGCATCTGAGCTTTGTGGCACCAGACTTCTCCCCTGGGGTCTCTGCTTGTGTCTTCCTTTCCTGTCCTCCCTCCGTGTGCCCTGGTGCCGTTGGTATCCTGAGTCAGCTGAGCCCGGGGCTTCCTAGGCTCAGAGTTCTGGTGAGGCCCCTGTCCACTTGGCAAGACGGTGGTGTGCTGCTTCCTGAGTGATTGAATGATGGTTTCACACTGCCCTGTCTTGGCTGGGACTATCCTTTGTTCTGAGGTTAGGTCTCTTGTGTTGTGTTTTGCTGGTGGAAACACTTTTAGGAGGCTGGAGGTGTGACTCAAGCAGTATAGCACCTGCCTAGCAAGCTTGAAGCCCTGAGTTCAAGCCCCAGCACTGTCAAAACAACAAACGCCACAGAGGAGGTGACCACTGCTGAAATAAGAAGCTGGAAACTTTGAGTTTAAAAATTCTTAAATGGGTGCAAATTTCAGGGGACCTGTGACCTCAGTTAAACCATGCTATTCTGAACCCGAATTGGACCATGGAGGTCCCAGCTGCTCACTGTCAAGGGCTTCCTGGGGTGGGATCAGTGACGGAGGGCTGTAGCAGGGTGAGGTGGCTAGTCATGACCGCACTCTGGAGCCTGACCTTGGTCGTGACCTTCCTGGTTGCCAGTGGTGATTCTTTCTCTTCCCTAGTGGCAGGTGAGGGACTCGTGGACAAGGCTGGTCGGGGAACCTGGAGGTGCAGGTGACCTGCCAGGCCTTTTGATGCCTTTGCTTTAGCAGGAGGGAGTGCCACACCTTGTCAGCTTAGGTTTTCTTTTTTTGGCGGCACTGGGGCTTGAACTCAGGGCCTGCACCTTGAGCCACTCCACCAGCCCTTTTTCTGAAGGGTTTTTTTTCGAGATAGGATCTCACAAACTGTTTGCCCAGGCTGGCTTCAAACTGCAGTCCTCCTGATCTCTGCCTCCTGAGTAGCTGAGATTACAGGCATGAGCCACCGGCACCCGGCTTAGTGTTTGTGTAAGCATGAAGAAAAGCCTCAAATTACTCTTTGGAGGACAGTTTGTGTCCTGGGAAGGTGAAGATGGGTCTGGTGTGTCTGCGACCCCATTTCCCCGAGTGGTGGGACCCACGCTTCTCTGCAGAGGTTCTGACTTGCTGAAGTAGAAGTAAGACTCAGAAGGCTAGCAAGTGGGAAGTGAAGACCCAGGTATCAGCAGGTGTAGGGGACATGAGACAGGAGGAAAGAAAGAGCCCAGGTAGGGGGCGGGGGCCTTGGCTTGGCACTGTCGTGGGTCTGGGTGCTTCTGTGTTGGACCTGTGCACTGTGGGATGCTTAGGAGCAGCCCTGGCTTCTCTGTACCAGGTGTCTGTGGCAGACTCTTTCTACTGCTCCTTTGTGGCAGTCAGAAGTGTCTCTAGACAGTGCCAATGTCCCCTAGCGACAAGATCTCCCCTGGGGTGGGGGAAAAGCAGCAGTCCAGCCCAGTGGGTTTCAGAGTTTAAAAGATGGTTCTGTACAAGGTTCTGATTAAGCAATTCTGGGGTGCAGCCTGAGATTATGTGTGCCACTTACCCAGAGGATGCTGTGCTGAGGGGTGGCTACATGACATTAATGACTCTGTGACACTGGTGCATCCTCCAGTCACCTGATTTACCTACACTCTGACAGGTCAACTTCTGACGTGGCCACCATCTGGACCCCTGGAGGACACTGTCCGGTGCTGCCTCCTGACTGTGCAAATGCTTAACTGCTGTCACGGGAGGTTTTGCACATAGGATTAAGGTCTCCAGTCAGTTGACCCTAAGAAAGGAAGATTTCCTGGGTGGGACTGAGCCAGTCATGGGAGCCCTTTAAAGAGTCAGGGTCCAGTTGGGTGTGGCAGTGAACACCTGTAATCCCAACTGCTCAGAAGGCCCCAAGGCCATCCAGGGCTACATGTGAGAACAGGTCTCAAAAACAAGGGGTAAGGGAGAGAGCTGGGGCAGAGGTCAGTGGTAGACGATCTGCCTAGAATACAGATCAATCTGGGTTCAATCCTCAGTGCTGCCAGAAAAAAAAGAAAGTGTGGGTGCAGACATCTGAGATGAAGGTCAGACTCATAGCAGCAGAGGCAGCCGAACGTAAGCATAGGGACGCTGGCAGGTTCTGAGAACCCAGGCAGCCCAGGTTGACAGCCAGCCGGGCAATGGTCTTAGCCCTCCACCCGTGGGCCTCACAGAGGGTCCTGAGCTCCAGATAACAGTCTCGGCTGACCTGACTTCAGCCTCAGAGACCCTGACCAGAGAACCCAGTGGCCTGCGCTGGACTTCTGACCCTGGAACTGGCAGCTTGTAAACAGGTGGTGCTTTTAGCTGCTAGGTTTGTGGTCGTTACCCGGCTGTGGGAAATGAGAAGCCCTCTTTCATGAACGCTCCCTCTTTCGTGAAGCATCATCTTCCTCTTGTCCCGTTAACCTTCCCTTTGCTTGCTGACCCCCAGGCTGCAGACTGGCACCCAGATGCTCAGGGACGTGCGTGTTGAGCCACTGGCTTGCTGGGGTGGCCACCAAAGCTCTGTTTGCCTCTTCCCTCTCTCTCTCTCAGCTGGAGGAACGAGCAGAGCAGATCCGCTCTAAGTCCTATGTCATCCGGATGGAGCGGGAGAAGATGCAGATGGAGCTGAGCCACAAGCGAGCTCGCGTGGAGCTGGAGAAGGCCGCCAGCACCAGTGCCAGGAGTTATGAGGTGGGCACAGTGGGCCGGGCTGTGTGCAGCACCTCCCAGGCTGGAAGGAATCAGGACCCAGCCTGCAGGTTGTCCAGCTGCTCTGTGTCGGGGTTGATCGCCAGGGTGTCCTCTGAGGCCACCCGACAGTGTTGGAGGAGGTGGCTGGAAGTGGGGTCAGCCACGCAGGGGGCTCCTCGCTGTGCGGACGTTCAGTGAGGGCACCGTGCCAGCAGCATGGCCTCTGCTCGGCCTTTTGGCCTGCTCTTCCCTCTTGAGACTCAGAATGCAGATTGGGCAGAAGTACCCACAGGAAGTCACTGGGTTGCAGGAGGGTCTCTGGGATGGTCGCAGGGTCTCAGTATTTACCTCTGGCTCGGGACAGCTGGGAAAGCCCCGCCTTGTGACTGTGGTTGAGGCTCGGCATGAGAACCTCTGCCAGGGTTTTTGGTAGGCATGATCGGTTGTGGAGTTTCTGCTAAGCTTCGGGCAGAGGGTGGGAGCAGAATGTGTCTCTGGCCTCTGGGCCGTGTTGTGTGTGTCACACATGTTCCTAGGCTGCCTGGGCGTGGGGCTGGTGGGCTTACTGGAGCTTGGAATGAAGGTTCCTGGCCATGGAGTGTAGTCTGGGCTTGGTGAGCCAAGACTTCGCAGTGCCTTGCGTTAGGGCGGGCAGGTTGCACGAGCCCTCACACTGGAGGAAGTGCCTTGCTGACGGCGTGACGCTGGTGCCTGGGCAGCACAAAGGGCTCTGGAGGGACTGGAGTTTCGTGGGCAGTGTCCCTCTTGGGCAGGGCCTGCCCATCTGGCCTGGGTCTCCGTGTCAAGGGCGGGAGGTGGCCTCCTGGGTGCTCAGAACACTTGAATGGTGAGGGGTCATGCCAGAGTCTGGGAAAGTCCTTCCTTGGGAAGACCAAGGGTGGCAGGGTGGCTGAGGGTGGCTCTGCAGAACTCCGTCTGCCAACAGGTATGCCAAGTGGGGCCCAGGACATTCGGTGGTGAGCCGGTAGGACAGGGAGGTGGTCTTCCCACCTGGAAGTACGAGCTACGTGACAAGATCTAGGCCCTGCCTTCTGTGCTGGGACTGGCAGTAACAGTGGAGCTGGCGATCTGGCTGTGACAGTGCTGAAGGTCCCCCTCTCTCCCTTCCTCCTTTCCTGTGCCTGGAGCCTGGTGTTGCTCAGTGTGCCCTCTACCGCGGTCGTACACTCGGCTCAGTGCAGCATGCTTGTGTCTCACGCTTGCTCACCCAGGGTTCCCTGCCTGTTTTGGGGCTGCACTTGCAGTCTCTGTCCCCAAGTCCCTTCGAGGCCTAGGTCAGCCTTCCCTGTGGGGGCTGCAGCCTCATCTGTGCTTTGATCAAGTAAGCCTTCCTCCTGGAGAAGGGTGGCATGACCCCTTACTTGGAGACCTGCACAAGTTTTGGGTGGCTCTAGGGGGAGCGTGGGCAGGCAGCTGCCGCTGCAGGCGGGGAGAGTCCACGAGGATCCATCGCCTGCTCTGTGTTCCTTCTCTGGCTGGCAGAAGCCATTGGGTCCCTGTGGATCGTGGAGTCAGGAGGGCTGACGCTAGGTCCTAGTTCTGTCCTGTCTTGAGGTTAATGACAGGTGGCTGCTGTGAGGTCAGTGTGATGGACCCCTGTGGCAGATCTGGGCCCAGAGTGGCTGATTCTGACTGCAGGCCAGCGCCCTGCCCCTGCCTTGCTGCTGTCGTTGGTTGTGAGGGTGGGGACACTGCCTCACTTAATGATGGCCCGGGTGCTCAGGTAAGACCTGTGGGAGCTGCAGAAGCTCTGCTTCCTCCCAGCGTCGGCTCTGAGGTTTAGGTTTTCCATGCTCCGTGTCCTCCCTGCACAGGCAGTGGCTGTGAGCAGATGTGGGGGTCCATGCTGGGTACCCCGGGAGCTGTCGTGCTGGTACAGCAGGAGCAGTGGCATTGAGGACACAGGGCTTGTCCTGGGTCTGTCCTGTTCACTCTCCTGTAGGCCCTAGTGGCCTGGGGTGTCCCTGCCCTGACACCCCTTGGTCACGTTCTTTCCACAGCGTGAGGTTGACCGCAACCAGGAGCTCCTGGCGCGCATCCGGCAGCTTCAGGAACGGGAGACCGAGGCGGAGGAGAAGATGCAGGAGCAACTGGAGCGCCACAGGCTGTGCAAGCAGAGCCTGGATGCCGCCAGCCTGCAGCTGCGGGAGCAGGAGGACGGCCTGGCTGCGGCCAGCGAGGTGAGTGCAGCCTCTGCTGGCCCTGGGACGGCCTCTCTCCCTCCCTCCCTCCCTCCCTTCCCGTGCCGGAGCCTGGAACGCTCAGCCTTCACATCTTTCGGTGAAGGAGACTAAGCGCACTCCCAACTCTGCCCCTCGCGCCTGCACCTGCGGCTCCGCTCGGCTGTGATCCTGGTGAAAGCGCTAGTTGTCCGTTCTGTGGGTTTCAGGGAATAAGCTGAGCAGTTTTTTGATCTTCAAACTGAACTTGAGTGCTTGGCTGATCGTCTTTGTCATTTTCAAGTGTTTGGTTCTTTTTCTGCATTCACCCTGTACCTCTGTGGGAGGTAGCTTCGTGTGTGTGGCCTGTTTGCTTCTGTGACACTGTAGGGTCTTGGGGACCCTAGGAGTGGGGTGATGGCCCAGCACAGTTCCCTGGCTGCTGCTGCCAGTGCTGGGTTGTGCTGACCCATTGTGGGGTGTCTGGTATCACCGTAGCCTTGCCTGTCACAGGTGGTTACCCCCTGGAAGTGCTTTTTTCTTTTTGCCAGACGTGCGTAGGTGCCTCTGGGTTTGCATTCCTTTGATTTCCAGCAAGTTCTGGCATCAGAGGATATGCCTTTGAGCCAGGGCCATGTGAACGGCAGTGTGCTTTGGAGGCAGCTGGTGGGAACGGGGCTCCCCCGACCTTCCTGCCCTCCTCCGTGGTGTTGAGGATTGCAGGTGTGCAGAAGACAGATGAGGGCGCTGGGGACGGGCTGCGTGGTGTCATTGGTATTCTGGCCTCACAACCTTCTCTCCTTGATAGACTTGGAGTGTGCTGCAGGTTACTTTTGCCTCCGTGGTGCTGGGAGCAGTTAGGGTTGTTCTGCATCTGTCTTCTGAAGCCAGCACTGGCAGGAGAGGAGGCGTGACTGGCTTCCAGCAAAGCCAGCCTGGTACCCGGTCCCCAGCCTTGACTTCTGGGCGGTGTCACTGCTCTGTGGTGACACCCTCAGCAAAGAGTAAAAGAGGTGGTGCTGATGGTGACACAGCAGAGGTTAAATGACCTCTCCTCAGGGAAGCCCTCCCGGTCACTCAGCCCACGACTGTTCTCCTTTCTCCTGCTCTGAAGCTCTCTCACTCATGTTAGCTTGCTGTGGTCCTGTGCCCTTTGATACCATCCTCTTCAAGTGGGCTGTCTCTGGCATAGCACCAGTGTGTTACCGAGGCCAGTGTCACCCCTGAAAGGACAGGTCCTTGTGGGATCTGTTTTAACACCTCTGATCTCTGAGTGCTAGGTTTATGCCAGCTGTTGTGATACAACCGTGCAGGTTGCTGGAGCATGGGCACCCACGTCAGCTGCCCCGAGGGCATGGAGTGACAGTGCTCCTGCACTTCAGGGGACAGTCAGGGGCAGAGAGATAAGTGCTGTGGTCTCCTTGCAGAGGGTGTGAGGCGGGGCTGCCCAGCGAGCGTCGCCTCTGTGGTGAGGTTGCTGGGCCCACTGTCCGCCTTGTGCTCCAGTGTAAGAGTTCTGTGCCCAATGTCAGGCTCAGGTCCGTGTGCAAATGCACTTTGTGCTGGCCATTCCGTTGCCTTAGCCAGCGTGCTTTTTCCCCTCCTGCTGCAGGAGAAGCTCCCTGAGTGGTGCTGCCGGAGCGAGGGGTGGTAGCCTTGTTTCCAGTGAATGTTCTGTGCTTTCGGGTGGACTCTGTCCTGGAGGCTGCAGGCTGGGCCTCCACTCCACCTTCTGAGTATCTCCACCTCCCCAGCGGTTCTGGCCCAGCTCCCTGGCTTGGGACGGCCGTGCTCTTTCAGTTCCATGTCCTGGTGACTTTCCTGTTCTGAGGACAGCCCGTCTCCCATTTTCAGTTTCTTGGCTGGGTCCTTGCACCCTGGATTACGTCCTTATGAACTGTTGGAATGGTGGCATGGAATGGTTAGGAAGGGAGCTCGAGGCAGAGGGCGTGATGGTGAGAGCTAGGGTGTGTAGGGAAGACTGAGGTGGGCACCTGGTGGGCAGGGCTGCTGGCTGCGTGGTACTGGGCTTGGAGGCCTCCAGGCACCAGGCCTCAGGTCCTGGCTAGAGGCGGCTTTGCTCCAGAGCTCCTCAGTGAAGCCAGAATTCCTGAGATCTAGATGTACCCCACGCTTCCTGTCGGCTCATGGGGATACAAGGCCGTGCACGGGCTGTGATGCTCTTGGGGCAATCGGTCTTGTCTACCTGGCTTCAGCTCTCTGGGAGAGGGGACTCTGTCTCTACCCCTGGGTAGCAGATGGGTCCTTCCTGTCCCATCTGCCTCCCTGTGGATGCTGCCCCGTGTCCATGTGCAGACTGGGCTTCAGTGGGCAGCCTGGGCTTTCTTTGCCTTCAGACCATCAGTGCGTTAAAGGGGCGAGTCTCAGAGCTGCGGTGGAGCGTGCTGGACCAGGAGGTGCAGGTGAAGCGCCTCGAGTCTGAGAAGCAGGAGCTGCAGGAGCAGCTGGACCTGCAGCACAGGTGAGGGGCCTGCCAGGCCTTCCGACTCTGTCCTCATCCACAGGCTTCAGAAAGGACCTGCAAGGAGTGGGTGACTTCCAAAACCAGGACAGTGAGCACTCCTGGGCCAGGATGGGGGGGGCGGCATGCTGTCTTGGAGTAGGCTTCCAGGAAGGGTTAAGCTGTGCTAGGTGATATCTCCTGGGTGGGGGTGGCCATGGCTGGGCAAAACATTCCAGGTGCAGAGGACATGGCGGACCAGGATGGATGTGTGGTTCCTGGTGGGCAGTGGTCTGGAAGCTTTGGATTCTCCCTGCATGACTGGCCCTCTCCCTGAGCTGGTGTTGTCTGCGGAGCGTTTCGCTCCTTGGGGAAGACGGGTGGGCAGGCTTGAGTGGGCCCTGCTGTCTACCTTGCATGGCGGGTACAGGTGGCACGGCTCACCCACTGCCCCATCCAAGTGAGGAGGCTTAGGCCTCAGAGCTGCCTTGGGCTGGTCCAGGATTCGGGGTTCTCCTGCAGTAGGCGGATGTGGTCCTTCCTGGGGGCTCAGGCTGAGGGGTGTGGTGGGCTGGCACGTGATGTGCTCCTCTTTGAACAGAAAATGCCAAGAAGCGAATCAGAAGATCCAGGAGCTGCAGGCTGGCCAAGAAGCAAGAGCAGACCAGGAGCAGAAGGTTAAGGTGGGTGCCCACGGCAGCCTGCGCGTGTCCTGCACCCTGCAGGCCTTTCTGAGCTGGGGCACGTGCAGACATGGGCACGTGCAGGGAGGCCATGGCGATGGCTCTGGGAAGCTTGCATCCTGTTGATGGGGACCCACTGGAGACCCGAGGGGAAAAGTGGACACTGGGGACAATACATGGAGGTTCAGAGAGCCTTGACACCTTGCCATGGTCCGTGGCCAGAGCAGCACTGACTGGATCGTAGCTGGGCCTATCTGACATGTATTCAGGTCATGCCGCTTTGCTACAGAGGGTGCTGCTTCAGAGAGGGTGCTCGAGGTCCCTCCTGTGGCCTCCGTTGACTTTGGAGTGACAACCAGACCATGTGCAGGCCTGTGCCAGCTGGCTCCCCACCGTCCCACTGTGTCCACCTGGCCCTACGGGCTTCTTTCCCGCCCTCCTTGGCTTCCTGCTTATCCGGCACCCCGCCCCTTTGCCCTGTCTGTCGCCATTGTCCTGGCCCTTGTCCTTTGGCCACCTTTCAGTATTTCCTTGTATATACAGCCTTATTGGTCCTCCGTGGCACTGTATCCCCTCACTCGACCTGGTACCTCAACAGAACTGCCTCCATGGGGCTGTTTGATTGACTGACTGTCCAATGGCTTGTCACGAGGTGCCAGTGTACGGCTGTGAGTCCCGGAGGGACAGACACAGTAAAGAAAAGTCTATCCTGTCAGTGGGAACAGACTTGGTTGCTGCAGCCACAGGCTTCATGTTTTAAGAGTTGTCCTCTTGGAGTGTGTTTGGGCCAGCTGTGCCTGCCTGCTGCAGGCTCCTGCTCTGGGGAACTGAGGACTGGACTTTGCTTGGATGGCCACAGGACGGTTGTGTGGGCACTGGCTCTCAGTGTACTGTGGGCAGGGTGCCTTAGGGGTGGGTGGTGAGGGTGTCGCCCACAGGGACAGCTGGTGCAGCCAGGGAAGGCTTTCTGGAGGAGAGCCTGGGGTGGAGCCTGAACTTGGAGGTCGCCACAGTCCTGGGGCAAGTTAACACAAGACCTTTGTGGCCCCTGTGGCTTTTGTACTTATTTTTATTTTTTCAGTGGCACTGGGGTTTGAACTCAGGGCTTCATTTTGCTAGGCAGGTGCTCTTCAACTGGAGCCACACCTATAGCCCACTTTTTTTTTTAAACGTTAAATCGTTTGCTTCATTGTTTGTTCTGGAAAACTTTTGATGTTCGGACCGATGATCTGAAGCAGCAGTGGGTGACGCTGGTGCCTCAGCCCAGATCACGTCAGTGTCACTCCGTACTCTGGTTGCCCTCACTTCTTGTGTCAGGTAACTGCGTCCCCCACGCTCCCTGCTGCCTGCGTTGTGGTTTCGGCACTTTCAGCCCATGGTTGGCGGCTCCATTGCTTGGGGCCTCAGGCAAGGTGCCATATCAGATGCAGTGAGGCAGGAGCTTGGTGGAGCAGCACCGCTCACCTCATGGCAGCCAGAAGCAGAGAGAGAGAGAGAGAGAGAAAGAGAGAGAGAGAGAGAGAGAGAGTGAGTGAGTGTGTGAGAGTCTAGGCTTTGGTTTTTAGAGCAGTTTAGGTTCACAGCAAAGTGGAATGAAGGCCCACTGAGTTTTAGAAGCCACTAAAACCGTCTCTGCCCCATGGCCTCCCCGCTCGCAGAATCCCCTGCGGGGGATGTGTGCTGCTGTGGATGAGCTTGCACTGCCGCAGCGCTGTCCCCACACACTGCATCTGTAACAGTTCTCACCATTGTACTGTCACACAGTGGTTTTGCCACCCTAAAATCCTGTGTGCCACCTTAACGTCGCTCCGTCCTCCCCTTGCCCTGGCCATCATGGTCTGTCACCTCCCTGTTTCTGATGCCCGCACCTGAAGCTCCTGGCATGGGCCTTTTTGGACTGGCTTGTCCCCTTAGCAGAGCTGTTTCCTGTCCCCTGGTGCTCAGTCTCCTTATCTGTCCTCTCTGCCTGCCTCTGGCAGGACCTGGAGCAGAAGCTGTGCCTGCAGGAGCAGGACGCCGCTGTCATCAGGAACATGAAGTCGGAGCTGCTGCGTCTGCCGAGGATGGAGCGGGAGCTGAAGCGGCTGCGGGAGGAGAACGCGCACCTGCGGTGAGCAGTGTCTCTTCCGCACGCCTGGCCCCTGGGTCCGTCCCCAGTGCCTGTGGCTGTTGGGCTGACAGTTTTTGGCTCTGCAGGGAGATGAAGGAGACCAATGGGCTCCTCACGGAGGAGCTGGAGGGGCTGCAGAGGAAGCTGGGCCGCCAGGAGAAGCTGCAGGGAGCTCTGGTAGACCTGGAACTGGAGAAAGAGGTGAGCCCAGGTGTGGGCTGTACCTGCGGGACTGCCCTCTGCCCTGTGCACAGGACCTTGACCACCTCCATCACCTGAATGTGGTGTGACGTGCAGAATACTGACCCCCCAAGGAGGGTCACTTCCTAGTCTCAGGACCTGTGAATGTGTCACCGCACATTCACACGTGGCAAGGGGTCGAGCTTGCCTGTCAGCTGGCAAGCTCCGCCCCGGGAGGATTCTGTGTGGGTCGTGTGGTCTCAGGGAGGTGGGGAGGCCACTGCTGGCTGGGAGGATGGAGGAAGGGTCCCTGAGTCAAACACGTGTGCGCCTCTAGCTGCTAGAAGCAGGACATGGGTTCTCCCTGAAGCTTCCGGAAGGAGCACACCTCTGTTGGTACTTTGTATGGATTGAAAGACTGGATTTGTGTTGAGGCCCCTGAATCCGTGGTTGGCTCAGAGTCGGGGAGGAATTGCTTTGTGGCGTCTGAGGAGGGTTGTGCCTGTGGTGGAGCCCGAGCTGGGCTTTTCCCTGTGTCTGCTGCATGAACGTGGTTGTGCTGTGTGCGCAGGTGCCAGTGTTGGTGGCATTGGAAAGTCACCTGTGGGCACAGGAGGAAACTCTGGTCAGAGGAACTCCTTTTACTCAGTGAGTTCGTGCGGCACTGAGTTTTTCAGCACTAGGTCTGCTAACTCCTGCCCAGGGTCTTTTTGTCCTTCACACTGCTTCCTGTGGTCACTTTGTCATTGAGCGTGCCCAGCACACACCAGGTCATTTTTCAGTCCTGTCCCCGTCTGGAGGCATGCACACATCAGTCCACCCCTCGGCCCTGTCAGCTGCCCTGTCTTTCTGGCCACTTCTGAGCTGTTCTCCTTTGGATGGAGTGGAGTTTTTGTCCTTTCCAGAGGTCCAGGACAACTGAAGACCTGTGGGGGCTGCAGAACCCTCTGACTAGTTGACATGGTGGCATGTCAACCCATGTCATGTCAACCGTGCTGTCCCCAGAATCTTGTCTCAGGGGCAGGCTTCTGTGGGAGGTGGCCTGGAAAGTGGGCTCCCACACAGGTGCACCCGTCTTGTTCTTTGGTTGTATTGTGTGTGTTTTTCTAATTGTTTTAAAAATATCTGGGGCTCTCAAGTCACACTGACTGGTTTGAAGTCCTGCATGGATTCTTGCCTGGCCGTGTGACCCTGGTGTCCAGTCCCGTACCTTGTCTGCCTATTCATCTGCACAGTGTGACCTGGTGACAGCACCTGCCTCATGCACACTGCTCAGACCAGGGTGTGGTGCGCAATGCTGTTCAGCAGCGACCTTGTGAGTTACCAGCCACAGCCCTGCTGGCCCACAGAGAGCTCTGGACGCCTGAGAACTGAGGTGGCAGCGCTGGCGGGCAGCTGCTGAGTGACGGGAGGCACGGGCGATGCAGGTGGCCCTGCTCTCCGCTGCATTTCCACAAGGGCAGTGAGACTTGGCTCTCTGGGGTGGGGACTAGCATGGAGCAGGCATGTTGGCAGTGCTGCCTCACCCTTCCTAGCCTCCCTGGGACTGAATCCATCTGTCTAGGGCTTGGTATCCTGAGAGGCACCTGGAAGATGGGGAGAGAGGAGCCTTGGGGCTCCTGTGCACCCTGGTCTCCTGCAGGCCCAGCTCGTTCTCACGTTCCTGGCAATCTGTGCAATTTGCACTTGAACCTGTGGGGCTGGGAAGGAGTGAGGCTGAAGGAGTCAGCAGCTAGGATACCCCGAATGCATTCCTGTGGGTGACCTCAGATGGGCCAGCGGTCTCAGCATCGCCGTCACTGTCAGCGGTTTGGCAGGTGGTGATGGGGACATGGTTGCAATTGTCTTTTCAGAGGCTGCTGGCGAAGCTGCAGAGCTGGGAGAGGCTGGACCAGACCATGGGCTTGAACCTCAGGTAGGTGGCTGCCCTGCCCTCTCCAGCAGGCTTCTTGTGTGCGAGGGAGATGGCGCTGCGTGACTCGTGCAGAGGGCGCGCGTCCCTCTGCCCTGCACTCTCAGGACTCTGCTTCTGGGGACAGTCATTCCTTTCAGGTTCAGTAGCCACTGGGGAAGAGCTGAGATGAAGGGTGAAAAGGCCAATCATGGTGGATGTTACTTGTCCCATTCAGACCCCTGAAGTGGCCTCGGTGGCTGATCTGTGCAAGGTCATTGCCAGCGGGTGGGTGGAGGGTACAGAACGGGCCGCACACAGCGCTGCTGTGTGGTCATCCCATCCACCCGCTGTCCCGTCCTGCTGGGACCGCTGCTCATCTCCATCAGGGCTCAGCTGTCCCTGCCCTTCAGCCGCTGTGACTGCTGAGACCGCCCTGCAGACTGAGTGTGTCCCCACCCCGGTGTAGCTGTGTCCTTTCGCGGTTGTCCTGTGCACTCTAGCGTCAGGGAGGCAGGGGACAGCTCCTTCTGGCTGAGCCAATGGAGCCTGGGTAGAGGCCTGTGCAACTCAGGCAGCCTTCTGTTCAGTTTGCTCAGGATTTTAGACTTCCAGCTTCCTGGTTCTCTTTCCTGCTGCTCTGGGAAGCAAGGCCAGGTCTGCGACTCTCTTACCAGACTGAGCTGAGCTGTAATTACAGCGTTGACCGCTGGCTCGGAAATCCGCTGCTTTCTGATCACAGTACTGGTTTCTCTTCTCTGTCTCTTTTTGCTTTGCTAAGTCACAGGAGAGAGACTGGGCTGCTGTTGCCCCTTGATCTTCACTTGCAGAGCCCAGCTCGCGGAGGCAGGCCCAGTGGCTGATGCCGTGTTCCTATGTTCTCCGGGCTTGTTAACTACCCGCAAGGGTCCCTACTACTCCCTACTACTCCTGGGACCGCCCCAGTCAGACAGGGAGCCTATGTGACTTATTTCCTGTGAGGAGGATCAGAGCTCCTTGTGTCTCATCACACCAGCCCTGTTGAGTCGCTGGAGAACTCACGTGCCACCTGTCTGCCACACAGCCCTTTTGTCAGTCAGACGCGTGGAGTGACTGTTCTGACCAGAGCAGCTCGGGTTTCCTAGGCCAGGTTGGAGTGTCTGTCTGCCCCTTCAGCCCCCCAGAACGATTTCCACACCTGAGGGCGCTGTTGTGAGCACAGCATAGCTGGTGCTCAGGTAACCGTGCGCGCGCTGTACTTCCCTGGTCCAAGGCCTGGGTTGGGCTGCCCTGTGTCCTGTCAGCCTAGGGCCGGGCAGGTGGAGGAGCAGGTGCATGTGGTGCCCCGTGTCCTCATTGAGCAAAGTGGACGCGACCCCCCCCCCCAAGGGGCAAGGTCTTGTCTGTCCTTAGGAAGGGCTTCATGGGAGGCCAGGGTGCTGGTCTCAGGTGGCTTGAGGATAGGTGGCCCCGTCCGTGCTCTGCTGAGGTGCCCTGGGCAGGACAGGTTTTGTGTCTCGTGCCTCACCTGTCGTGCCTGTGCCTCCCTGTGCTGCATGGGTTCCTGGTGCGTTGGAGGCCTCAGTGAGCCTGCTGCCTTGCCCTGTGCCTCAGGCAGATGTCCAGACAGTGGCTCCTCAGGCCTTGACCTCAGGTGACTTGTGCTCCACTCCCATGGTTACACTTGTTGCATAACGTGTGGGGTGCCCCTCAGGGTCACCCGAGTTTGAGGCTGTGGGTGAAACTCAGTGGTAGAGCACGTGCTTACCACGAGGGAGGCCCTGGGTTCAATCCCCAGCACCAAGAAGAAGGCAAAGGTCTACTTGAAGCCAGGTGTGGTGGTGGCCCTGCACTCCCAGCTGCTCGGGAGGCTGAGCCAGGAGGAGTAATGCACTCGGGTTCCGTGCCAGCCTGGGCGGCTTGGATGACTCGCAGATTCCTGGGCAAAGTTCAGGCCCAGTGGGTCAGCGTTGCCAGGGCTGACTTGGGTGTTGGGGTGGCCTCGGAGGCTGCCATGTTACGATAAGGATTTTGGCTTTTTTTCCCTTGCCCTTTCTTTGGAGGGGCACACAGGTTTTGGGCAGCTCCAGTGCTTTCTTGAGTGGCGGGGGAGGACCTAGTGGAGCCACGCTCATGAAGATTGATGTGACGCTGAGTGGGCGGAGGGATGTGGAGCAGGGGAGTTGGTGCTCACTGCTGGGGTTCGTGTCCCCGAAGGACAAGTTACACATTTGCAGCTCCACACGTTCCTACATCCCCACGCCCCCCCCCCACCCCGAGTGGCTGTGTAACTACTCTGACCACTCCCTAAAGCCACCCGGGGACCTGAGACGGCCAGCCCGTTCTCACAGATCAGGTACTGAGAGTAAACGCTTGAGTGCCTGGGAGTGTGTGTGGCTTTGTGTGGCCTTTAGTTCAAGGCCTTGCCAGCATTTTGGGGCAAGTCCGACCCAGCTCTGTGAGTTCTGAGTGTGGCCACCACTAGGTGGCATCACCCCCTTGGTGATTCAGCTTTTTTTAGGGAGCCACCCGCACCCTTTGCAGCCTGTCCTTGTGCCCACTGCCCTCTGGCAAGGGATGTCTAGCTAACTCCAGGGGTCTGGTGACTAGGACGCGAGGGACCTGTGGACCAATGCCCGTCTGCCTTTGAGCAGACACATAGCTGCTTTTGCCCGTCCTATGCCTGCCCTTTCCTTGTCCAGCCTCTCTGGGGGTCCTCAGTCCCCTGGGGCCTGTGTGCTTCTGGGGTCCAGAGCAACTGTTCCCAGTGTGGGCTGTCCAGTGGCTCCTCGAGGTTCTCGGCTCCAGAACCTCAGCCCTAGGCTCGGAACAGCACTCTGGCACAACATCAAGTTCCCCACTGGGTGACGGTCATCACCCTCTGCCCAGTTTGTATTTCTCATGTCTGAGAAGCTGAGAGAGGTTGGAGGAGGTGGACGAGCGTTTGCGTGGGGTGGGTCAGCCGCGTAAGCCGTGGGTAAGATGCCTGAACTTCCGCCGTGACAGGTCCCGTGTGGGGGTCACTTGGGCCATGACGGGTCCCATGTGGGGGTCACTTGGGCCATGATGGGTCCCGTGTGCGGGTCATGGGGCAGACACTGGGACAGGGTGTGGCTGTGTTGTCACTGCTCTTGCTTACACTGTGCGATGGTGACACTGGGACGAGGCGAGGCTGTGTTGTCACCACTCGTGCTCCTATTGTACTGAGCGTCCTCACCTGTGCAGTCAGGTTAGCAAGAGGAAAGGTTAGGCTCCCGGATAGAGAAATAAAACCGTGTGTGTTGGAGACTGCACGATTATGTAGGATTTCCCCAGGCGTCTTGTCTCACTGGTGAGGTGACCAGGGTCAGAGGAGACAGGGACAGTGCACAGAATAGATAGCGTTTCTGTGCTTGAGTGAAGAACTGCTCAAAGGACGTGGGCTTTGCAATAGTGTCACAGCCACCAAGTACTTAGGGATAAAATTAACAAAGCGTATTTGAGATCCACTCTGAAAACCCTAAGAGGCAGCTGACAGTGATTACAGATGACCTAATAACGCAGGAGATGGAGGGACAGGGAGGAGAAAAGAAACCCAGTCCCCTGCTCTCTGCCACCAGTGGGGGCTGCACCCTGACACCCGGTGTGGGCTTTTCACACAGCACGCACTTCTGCAGCCTACGCCAGCTGGGTGACCTACAATTCAGTGCCTCCTCAGCCTCTTGCTGGCGCTCAAGGCCAAAAGCCCCAACCTTTGATCCAGCCCTGCTGTTCCCGGTGCCCAGCCCCGACCTGAGCAGTGTCACAGAGGTGTCACACATGGTGGTGCACTGGCAGTCAGTATTGTCCTGATGGCAGATGGCTCAAATTGACCCGTAAGTCCAAGTAGGCCTTTGGTAGAACCAGTAAACTGAGTTCTAAAGTTTTTATAGAAACATAAACCTAGACTAGGTGCAAATTTGGAAAAGGTGTCAGACGGCTCAGCCTGGCCAGTTTCGTGATACACCGCAAAGTGCGTTAAGTGAAGGCGGTATCGGGGGCAGGGTGGACAGGGCTTCAGGAGCGATTCCAGAGGTCAATTGCTTTTCCACGTGGCAAGGTGATGGAGCGCGGGAATGGTGCTAAAGCAGGCGTGCGGGAGTCCAGCCCCGCATGGCAGACTCGGCGTGAGTCACAGTGCGTGTGCACCTGTGCACGGCAGCTGGAACTGCGAGGGGCTCGGGTTTGCCTCAGAGTTCCTAGGACCTAGAACATGGGTTTTATACATCGGATTTCATCAGAATTAGAAACTTTTGCTCTCAAAAGATAAGGAAAGTGAAAAGGCAGATAGTAGATTAGCAGAAAATATCACCGAGGACGTACACTCAGATATGTAAGACGTTCTTAAATTGGCTGTGGTGGTGCACACCTAGAATCCCAGCACTGGGGAGGGAGGCTGAGGCAGGAGGATTGTGAGTTCAAGGCCAGCCTGGGCCTTGTGAGGCTGGTGAGACCTTGTCTAAAAATTGTCAGTCAGATGGCCAGATTAGAAAGGGGACAAGAGGGCGGGGGTCATAACTCAGAGGTAAAAGACTTGGTTTAGAGTGTGCAAAACCCTGGGTTCCATTCCACCACTGCAAGACAAAAACAAAAACCCCACAAAAAAGTCCAGCAGATGTGAGAAGATGCACCAATGGGAACTAGGACATGGAAAGGTGTCATTACTTGTTCAGGGTACAAGTTAAGATCACACAGTGCCATGACTGACTTGGACGAGCCTCCCCCAGGGCCCATGGCGCTATGGAAGGTGGTGGAACCTCCAGGAGGTGGCTGAGTAGCAGGAGGTGAGGTCACTGGGTGCGTGTCCCTGAAGCCACATTGGGACTCCAGCTCCTGCTTGACTCTGTCCCCCCACTGCCCTGACCTGAGCAGTTCTGCCATGGTGCTCTGCCTGCCACAGGCCCAAAACCAACGGCGCTTAGCACGGAGTGAGCCCGAGCTACAGCAGAGCCTTTCCTTCTCACCTTCTTACCGCAGCCATTTGTCCCGATGAGGGAGAGCTGAGGTGAGATACCGCAGACCCAGCAGAACGATTGAGATCGGAGGCTCTGACCCTCCCCGTGTCGGCAGAGA